ATTGAAAAAATACTGATAGAGATAAATTATTTATTTTATTTTATCATTCAGGCGATTATAAAGAATTTTATCTAAATACGAGAGGAAGTTCTTGGTGCCTGAAGATCTAATCTAGAATGGAACCTTCTATCAAAAGACAGACGATTCCTTATTTCAAATCTTAAAATCATGACATTAACTTTTTTTAATATAACTGCCAACCGTAGGCATTGCAAAAGCAAAGAGTTTACCTAAACAAGGAGGTTATAACGTCAAGGACGTTACAGTAGCCATTACGTTTGGTAGAAATTTGGAGAAATATTACGATTCTTGTGAAATTCACAAATGAGGAGCTCGATGGCGCAGGTGGCTAGCGCGTTCGGCTGCGATCGTTGAAGTTAAGCAACTTTCGCAGTGGTCGGTCATTGGATGGGTGACCAAAAATTTACTATCTCGAGCTCCTCCGTGCTTCGGAAGGCACGTTAAGCCGTTGGTCCCGGCTGCATTTGCACTCGTTAGCACCCACCAATGCGCACTGGGCCCGCGTGGTGGGTCATGGCCCAATCTCCCTATTCCATCCATAGGGAAGGCCTGTGCCCCAGCAGTGGGGACATTAATAGGCTGATGATGATGATGATGAGATTCACAAAAACTAACTACAATGGATTGTGGATTTCGAATGTCATGAAGTGGTTGTTCTAACTTCATGCACGCGACGTCACGGACGGAAGCTAGTTTCAGAGTGAATGCAAGTTTAAGTCCTAGAAAAAATTCCAAGCTATCGTGCTAGATTTTACATTTGATACACGCTGGTTTTCAAGGTGAATATGCCGGACGAGGAGTTGGATTCGTCCATCGAGGGTTCCGTATAAATTTTTACGTACACGACTTAAAAGGTCATATACACGACATGTCGTGTGAGGCGGGTCGTTACGTTCCCTAAAATATGGTTGAGCGAAGCGATGGCTGGTTCATGCGTCATGCTCGTGAACGGGTGCTGCCAGCGGAGATGAGTCTGCCCTAACTACTTTGATATTTAAGATTTAAATGTATAATTACACCTATTATAAAAAACTCTGTTTGTATTTATACTGTGTGACACAGCAATCAAAATGCAGGTGAACAATTAATGTATAATTTCACATTATGTAATGAAGGGTGACTTCATGAATCATCTCTGAAGTCATTTTTCAATTTGACGACTCTGTAAATGATAAAACAGGGAGAAAAAAACAGCCCTTGCCGGTTCTTCTCAGTACAAGGTCTCCCGCCGTAGATTTACGAACCGATGGCGTAGCTTCTATGTGCCTGTAACAGCCTAAACTGAATAAATGATTTTGATTTGATTTGATTTATATCTTTTTTTTTCACGATAATTTAGAAGTTTGGTTTTGTCACGGCTTCTAAGGAAGTAGACTTGAGTTTATGGTTTAACTAGCTGCGCCCAGCAGTGTTACCCGCGGTTTATTAGGGATATTTTCCCGCAGTAAAACGTAGCCTATGTGTTAATCCAGGTTGTCAGCTAACTCCATTCCAAATTTTATTGAAATCGCTCTGTTTAGACGTGAAGAAGTAACAAACATACACACTCACAAACTTTCGCCTTTATAGTATTAGTGTCTTGACACAGACGGACAGTTGGACAGACGGTCAACAAAGTGGACCTATAGGGGTTCCGTTTCTTCCTTAGGAGTTACCTACGGAACAATAAAATTAAATGTTAAAAATTTTTTTGACAACAATATTTTTTTCTTTGCGTAGGCAAGACCTGGTCTTTTTATTAAACGCGTGGCATGACAACCCAATCTTTGTTTTTCGGGTTTTCTTGTTTTTAAATGTTTGACGCACCGTTAAAGCGACCTCGCACAGGCCCTGCCAGTATACCAGCGCTGACATATGCTATATGCTACTGTTATGATGGCCAATAAAGATTTTTTCATTTAATTTTATTTCATTTCAAGTTTTCAGTGCAAATAGAAATTTCCTTTCTTAAGCTTTCTCTGTGAATTCTGTTCGCACTCTGTACTCGTTCCGTGATCAAGTTGAGCGTCATTTCGTATTCTTACTTTGAACATACCTCTTTCTTTCTTTATTTATTACGTGGCATCATTAAGCGCTTTGTACCGACTATACCACGGCGAGTGTTTTGAGGAGTTATTCTCGCTTATCCCTCCATCACCATTTCTTCAGAGGACCACGCGCCATCCGCCTGGAATACTTCTAGAGGCACTCTCCAATTCTCGGCTTGAGGTCCCCTTAGTATCTCGCCGTCCCCAAACCCGGTGACGCTGTAAAGGTCATCTGCGACCAACAGCATACACACTCAAAAAAAATTTATGCGTAGGGAAGGCGTGTGCCCCAGCAGTGGGTCATCAAAACACTGACGCTGGTGATGATTTTCCCTTACATAATGTAGTGATTACATTAGGTCGTTTCATTACCCCAACGAGTGCCAATTTACCAGTCCTTTTGTTTACCCGACACAGTCTTTTAGAATTCCAGTGTAAATATTGCTTCGGGGGCCCGAATTCGAGTAATGTCTTTCGTGCACCCGAAACTTACCGTATTCGGGTCCAAAGTAATTGCGGCATAAAGCAAAATTGATCGTCTTTTATCAATTCCACCTTACAATTCCTATCACAAATGTGGCCGTCATTACACACCCGTAAATTACGTCGCGACCTCAACACTGGATCCAACCTTGACCCAGTGGGTCGCGGCCTCGGTTCACTCAGTACCGCAGTTCCAAGGATGCGGCGACATCTCCACGGCCCCGGGAATGTTCATAAGCTTTTCTAACTTTCGTATTGAAGGTTAAAATTATATGAGCGCTAGCGACCGCTTGTGACTGCGTGCGCGGGAACTTTAATTTTTTGCAAATCCCTCAGGAACCTAACTTTTTTTCGGGATAATAAGTATCCTATGTCTCAAACCAGGGCGTAAACTATATGCGTACCAAATTTCATCCGAATCTGTTTAGCAGTTTTTGCGTGATAGAGTAACAAACCTACATATTCATTTGGGTAGATGTAGAGTTTGTAGTTTGTTAAAATAATAATGCTTGCTAGCTTCCGCCCGCGACTTCGTCCCTTTCGATTTTCACTTTCTTTTTTTTCCCTTGGTCGTCACGGTATAACATTAACCTTATTTTAGGGTTCCGTACCTCAATCAAAAACGGAATAAAAAAATTGCTAATGTCCATTTCACTTTGCTTTTCCATTTACCTAAAACATTTTATATAAATACTCCCAAGTTCAAGCAGTGGGGTCATAAGGTGACAATTATGAAAATATGTTGCTTCTGTATCTACGTCTGGGTTTTACAATCAGGGCGTTATCGCTGTTCGACCGTCATCAAGCTTAATCCTTTGTTTATAATACTTTTGTCAGTGTTTGATTTTCTTTATCGCAAACAGATAATGTGATCCTTATCGGCTGATTCTTTTCTAAATAATCTGTGAACCGCGGACTGTAAGTATAACTTCTGCCACTTTCAATACTGCCACAGCCGTTGGCTGTAAAAACCCTATTTATTTGTCTAAAGTAAATTTGAAGAAATTGCGGCTTCATTACTATTATCGACAACTACAAACGAAGACTTAACTTATTACAGCAATAAACAATATGGGATCCAACATACAACCTTGTTAGACTTCAAAGCTTTCACAAAAACTTTAGAATGTTGACAAAAGCTAATTGCATTTTCTCGTTGTACATAATCAGTGCTGTTATTTTTTTTAATCAGCTGATTATATCAGTAAAATAAATAAAATTATCTAAACGGCGTTGCTTCCTTCGATAAGATTAGATATAAAATGGTATGTTGTGCACGTGTTATAGCAAGCTATGTAGTATTTGTATTTGCATATTATATTTTTTTTATTTAGAATTGTAAGTTTATAAAAAGTCACATATTTAAATAATTACCAAAAAATACCTAGGTTACCAAATTTTAGATAATCATTTAATTAATTCCCTTAAAAAAATGATACGTATATAGTATATATAAGGTAATTATATAGAGGGTAATTATATATATCCTAATTATTCTGATATTCCCAGTAGCACCACGGACTACAGAGTAACATAGATGCCAAGGACTATTTCGCTATTTCATAGTGATGACTCACCATTCAAATCGTTCTACCTATATGACATGCCTATGCCCGATTTGGCAAAAAGTTTACGTTTACAAAAGGGAAAGCTGCGTATGGCTACTCCTCTCCCGGCCACGTCCGTGTAGCTCTATGGGTATTCCCCGTTAGTAAATGTATCCCTCTATTATTCCATGTTTCCCATATTCCACTTTCTCCTTGCCTGCTAACCCGTAAGGGTTCTAAACATTATGCCGAAGGTAGTCTTGACGGCAACAATCCTAGCTGCATTTCTGGCGAGTATTTTAACCACTGCCATGACTTCATACAGGCCAGCGATTTTATTTAGTTCATCATTAGCCTATTAATGTCCCCACTGCTGGTGCACAAGCCTTCCCAATGGATGGAATATGGAGAATGGGCTATCCATGACCATGACACGGGCCCAGTGCGTTGGGTGCTAACGACTGCAGATGTAGCCGGGACTAACAGCTTAACGTGCCTTCCCAAGCACGGAGGAGCTAGAGATGATAAGTTTTTGGTCACCCATCCCAAGCCCGACTATTGCAAAAGTGACACATCAACATTAGCCTGCTTCAAAAATCCGTCTGCTCTGCTGCCGGTATAGTATGGAGAAATCTTAAAGGCATCATTTGTTTATCGTCGAACCATGTTTTATAAATAAATTGGTGTGCGTAAAAAAATAATTATGTTATCTTTCTTTAAAACTATGAATTACTTTGATTACTATGATAATTTTTGGCACAGTGCTGTTCTTTAAAACCGGATGTACGGGGGCAGGGTAATACGAATTACCGTACCTGAAGTATGTCTTGATCCTTGGTTAAGAGTTAAAAAGAGCATTTACTTGGCATTAAGTAAAAATAGCAGTGGCTGTAGAAATAATTGGTTCCTTTGTTTGTTTCAGGTTGCAATAAAAATCATAGACAAATCAAGACTAGACGAAGACAATTTGAAAAAGACTTTTAGGGAAATTGCAATAATGAAAAGGTTGCGGCATCCGCACATAGTTAGGTTATATCAGGTATGGCTTGTTTTATTAGTGTTCTTTTTGTTCTTGATTCAGTTTTGCGTTATTATATTTTAAGTGAAGACACTAAATTTAAATTCAATATTATTACTATATTTGAATTAAATTCAATATTATTACTAAATTTGGATAAAAAAAAAACATCTTCACTGTTATCTCCACAAAAAGTTAAATTACTTAATAGTTACTACGTAACAGATAAATCGCTCCCTTCAATCAATCAACAGATAAATCGTAGATTTTATTGCCTCACCCATAGTTAAAGTAATTTTAAAAAATCCATAAACATCGTTAGAACTTATGGAGGTAACCAAACCATTTTTAACTTTTTAATGATTTTCATTTTCAGGTTATGGAGAGTACATATACAATATATTTAGTTACAGAATACGCTCCGAATGGAGAAATTTTTGGTAAGTTCATTTATTTTTTGTATGTATAACGAACGCCATTATATAAAATCAAAATTAAACAACATGTTTAATGGATCTACCCTCTGCTTACTACACGAATAAGACGTATATTTTTTCGCTCCAACTAAATTTTATCAATAAAAGTTTGTAATATTATAATAACTGTTTAAAACCGGTAAAAACATTTATTTATAAGTGATTTCAATATTGCTTATTAAAATTACGACAAAACACAGTGAGCAACACAAAATTACTTGCTGAAAATGTCCACCCACAAAATGCCGCCAAAATGTGAGTTTTGTGAAAAAAATATAACTAAATCAAAACCTGGATTGGAGTGCAATAGATATAGAAAAAATTGTACATTTAAGTACTCAGTGTGCAGGTCTTAGTACCAAACAATTATCAGCCGTACGAGCAACGGAAAATTTGGAGTGGACCTGCCAGGAATGTCAAAATTCATCCAGACGTCGTTCCATCGTCATTCCAGACGAAGATTCAGAAGAAGAAAAAGATACACCAAACTTACCCTTTGATGTTAAAAAACTTATCTAAGGAGGTGGAAAAAGCTGTAAAACGTGAATTGAGAGAAATTACACACTGTTCAATATACTTCAGATAAAATGGACGAATTTCTGGAAAAAATGGCTATAATGCAGGAAAACATTTATAATCTACAAAAAAAAAACACAGATCTAACAAATAGAAATAATAACCTGGAGGTGAGAATTGGGGCCCTGGAGCAGCGTATACAGGTAATGGAACAAAAGGAATTGAATCATTCTATTGAAATTCACCATCTTCCATCGACTGAAAATGAAAATGTAATTGAAATCGTAGATAATATTGCAAAAAAACTCAATCAAAAAACGGAAGATATCAAAAATGTACAGCGTCTCCCTGGTAAAAAAGATCGCCCTGGTCCAGTTATAGTAGAACTGCTGAATCAACAAATCCAGGCCACTTGGATTGCTGCTGCTAAATCAAAGAGCACCAAAATAGTACCAGCTGATATTATTCTCAGTGCCCCAACATCAAATTCTAACGAAAATATATTTATTTGTGAATCTCTAACATCATTCAATAAACAGCTGCTGTGGTACACGAAACAAGAACTGAAAAATGTCTTCAAATACATTTGGATCAAACAAGGGGTTCTCCGTGTACGGAAAGAAGGTGAATCGCAAAAGCCAATCATAATAAGAACCGTAGAAGACGTTAAAAATCTCAGGGTATCGTCTAACGACAGCCCACAGTGAGGTATTTGAACAGTTTAGCATTTGTGTATTGAGTTTATTGAATTACCTAAATGAATAGTAACCTAGATAATATTTTGCAATTAACTAACTGTACGGACCTAATAACGTTCCTTAAAAGAGTTCCAAGTAACTTGGCTTTGTTGTGCATACATGTGAATATCAGATCTATTATCAAAAACTTTGCTTGCCTTGAACAGTGTATTTACTCGTCTACTCGAAGTATTGATGTTATAATGCTAACAGAGGTTAATATCTCAGACACTCTTTGTAATGTATATCAATTAAAAGGTTATACAATGTACACAGAGCTGCGGAAGGGTAAGAGAGGCGGGGGTATAATAATTTATGTTAAAAATGATCACAAATTTCAAATCAATTATCATAAAATGCAACATAGTGAAAACTTGATGGGAATTTTGACAACCTCTTTTAACTATACGGCGGTTCTGTGTTGCTTGTACCGTCCTCCTAACACTAGTATGCACTTATTTGTTAAGGAGTTAGACACATTATTAGCAAAAGTAGGCAAGCAAAAGGATATTTATCTATTAGGAGATTTGAATATCGACTTGCAAAGTAAACGAGCTATAAAACATATTTACAACAACACTATGTACAATCACGGTTTGGCATGCGGGATCACGGAGTATACACGGATAGAATTATCAAAAAGTAAACTTAGTAAGTCTTGTATTGATCATATATACGCTCGTTCCCGCACACTTAACCTGTACACCGCGGCGCTCGGAACGTCACTGGCCGATCACCGCGCTATCGCACTTGCAGTTGTTAATCCCGAGCACCACCGAACCACACGGGGGGATTCTCGTTATGTTACTCGATGTAATTATGACAAATTTAATACAAACTTAAGAAGAATAAACTGGCAAATAATCAAAGAAATATTTTGTCCAAATAAGATTTATTCCATTATAGTCGAAAATATTAGAAAATGTAGGCAAGATTCCGAAATAAACATTAAAATAACATCTAATAAAAATAGAATTGGAAATGACTGGATAAATAACAAAATTAAAAGAGCATGTAAATATAGAGATAATTTGTTCATGAAGTGGTTAAATGATCCGACTAACAAAATATTCAAACAGAATTACAATAAAGCTAGAAATTACGCTAATAAAATAATAAATAAGTATAAAAACAAAAAGTTAAGGGAAACAATACTTAGCAATAAAAACAATCCAAGATCGTTGTGGAAAATATTAAATACTTTAACTGGCAGAGCTAAAGTTATAGCCGATACTATTATTACAAATGCATTTCTCAAAACTAATAATACTATTTCTCAGATAGCAAATGACTTTGCAAAATATTTTCATAATAATAATACAAATATGCATAATTGTAATACCAAATTGCTTGAAAAAGAAACGTATTCATGTCCTATCAATGTCAGTTGTAAATTCCAAAACACTACAGCCAAAACAGTACTTAAAGAAATCAGATCACTTAATAACCATAAGGCGCCGGGTATAGATGGCATAAGAGCATCTGATTTAAAAATAATTGACAAGGATATTGCAGATATAATAGCACATTTCATTAACGTCACTGTGAAGCAAAAAAAATACCCGTCTGAACTTAAAACCGGTATAGTAAGACCTATTTATAAAAAAGGCCGACAGGATATGTACGATAATTATCGCCCTATAACAATTCTCTCAAATATCAATAAAATAGTCGAAAAAGTAATATCTAAACAAATAAATGCCTTTTATGAGAACAATAAAATTATCACTGATAAGCAATTTGGCTTCCAGTGCGGCAAAAGTACCACGCAATTACTATCAAAATTTACTGACAGCGTCTATAAGCATCTCGACAGTAAGGAGCACGTTTTAGTACTACTGATTGATTACAGTAGGGCGTTTGACACCTTAGATCACGGAAGACTAGTAGAAAGCTTGAAAGATTGCGGAATATGTGGGCCGCTAGGTGAATGGTGCAAAGACTACCTAGCTAACAGATCATATGTTGTCAAAGTGACAGACACCTTTAGCGACAAGTTCAAGGTATCCAAAGGCACAGCGCAGGGGTCCGTACTCGGGCCATTGCACTACATAACTTATGTAAATGACGTAGTCAATCTCATTACAAAATGCGAAATATATCAATTCGCTGATGATACCTGTCTTGTTTCTGGTAATAGAGACTTAGATGTAGCTCTAAAAGACCTGCAAGATGAATTCACCTTACTTTCCAAATGGTCCCATGATGTTGGTCTAGTTCTAAACTATGAAAAAACTAAGCTCATGTACATTAGCAGTAGTCATAACAGGAATTATAAGGATATTAAACTGATAGCCCATAATCACAAGTGCTTACATACGAATAATCACAAATGTCTGTGTAATCCCATTGAAATCGTGAATAAACAGAAATATCTAGGATTAATAATAGATGATAGATTGAAATGGGTCGATCATATTCATTATGTATGTGACAAATTGCGAGCAATACTATCTAAATTTGTATTAGTCAGAAACAAAATTCCATATTCCATACTTTTGCAACTATATAAGGCATTGGGAGAAACGATTATAAGCTATGGGATAAGTAGCTATGGAAGAACTGTAAAATCACATTTGGACCTTATATACAATATACAAGTTAGAATTTTAAAAGCCATAGTTCCTAATAAAATTAAAATTAAATTCAAAAACAATATAAATGAACTCTTCTACCACTGTAACGTTTTGCCTGTACACGATCAAGTCAAATCTAATCTGATCTCAGAAAACTATTTTAATGAAAACTTTCGTATTATAAAGCAGCACAGTAAGCAAACCCGTAGTGCATCAGCCATTACATTCAATATCCCAAGATACAATAATCATTATGGTAGGCAATTATTACAGTTTCAGATACCCAAGTTAATTAACGAATTACCAATATATGTAAAAAAATAAATTAGTGAAATTAATATTAAGAACGTACTAAAAGGATATTATTGCTCACAGTTATTAAATCAAGAATAACATATTTAATATAGTAAAATTTAATGTTTTTCAACACCATAATAGAGTAACAGTATTTAGTAAAATCTGATGGGGAACCCGCCCGTGTGAATAAACTCATTGCTTTGTTCGGGGCGACCGCCGACAACTCGTAGAAAGAGGGTAGATGCAGATGCGAAAAAAAAAGATCTAAAAGATGACGAATCCCAGTGCTCGGTAAAACCTACACAGGTTTTTGATGTGAAATTCAATAAATAAAAAAAAAAAAAAAAAAAAAATTTTGCTTGAAAAAGTTTTGATTCCTAACGTACTTTCTCGGGGTATTCTTAAGTATGTAAAATAATCTGTGTATATATCATAGTTGAAAACTATTCATCGAAATATGGTTTCATCCGCAAGCTATGACTATATTAACTGTAGTTACACGAATGTTTTATAATACGTATCGGAGCTAAGTGGTGTCAAAAGCTTTCCCTAATACTTTTTGCATACTTCGTGCCTGTACCGATTAATTGCACTCAGTGACTCGGATTTTTGACACAAAAGGGTGGCCAGTTGGGTGTAATGATTGTGCTACGAAGTGCTAAGGGGCACTTACAACTTTTGCAAGTACTACTAGAATATGTTTGCTACCTGTACTGACGCGATATAATTTATTTGTGGTAATCTGCCACAGTACCATTGCCATATTATAAATATACATTCAAGTTGATCGCAAAAATAAACGAACGTGTATTTGGTACTAGCTGTGCCCCGCGGTACTACCTGCGGTTTATTAGGGATATTTTCCCCGCAGTAAAACGTAGCCTATGTGTTAATCCAGGGTGTCAGCTAACTCCATACCAAATTTTATTAAAATCGCTCCAGCCGTTTAGACGTGATGAAGTAACAAACATACACACTCACAAACTTTCGCCTTTATAATATTAGTGTGATTAGTGTGATAGTGTGATTTGATTAAACGGTAAATCTGACAAGGTGCGGTAGGCAACTAGAAACGACTGAATGAATGGGAACTATTTCTTTAAAAATGGATTACCGAAATTTATATTTTAATAAGTACGGATGCAAACAATTGATACTTTAATTTCACAATAACAATTAGGCTATTAAGTTTAAGTATTATTACCGTACATTATTGCAATACAATGGTCACAATCTGTGACTACTACTGTAAGCAATTCATTGGAAATATTATAATAATACACCAAATCTATTTAGGATTAACGCAGTGAGGCATGTTGGGGCACAAACTCTTTACAAACTTCTGTAGTCATTATAATAATATTTTTGGTATAAAAATATTATATAAAGAAATTCTTGTCTATTTTCTCCATATTCTTCCTTTTAAGCCTCCACTAGGTTTTAAAATATTAGTTTAATTTGTCGGTCCAGCAGAAATCTCGTAAGAGAAAGAACTAATATTTGGTCGTTGTATTATTTTATATTTCGAAATGTTGAAAATAATTTAATGAAAATCAAGGAACCCAACAAAGTTTTCTATTCTACCGTAAATATACATTGGTGTCGATTCTGGCATGACTCTCTAAACCTAAACTTAAATTTGACAACAGTGTATCCTTGTCATTCTCTATACAGAATGAAAAGGAGAGACTGATGTTAAATTTAGTTTTAAGTTTAGAGAACCATGCCAGAATCGACACCAGTATCAAGCTTATTGTTTGGGTCTTATTACTCGAAACCACTACACCGTCGACTACCGTTACAGTTGTTTTGGTCAGAATGCACAAATGGAAGAGTGTGACTGTAAGCAATCCATTTGGATTCAATAATTTACTCACATAATTTGTTAATGAGAGTACCGCAAGGAAGCATGCTAGGGCCCAAACTCTTTTAAGCGAATATAACTCTGTATACCTGTACTATACAGGTTGTGTGATTAGTAATATATGTCATTTCGATCTAAATTTTATTTATCCTTACTCGTTATTTTGGACAGATCATTTAGTGTCACGGGGCCGAATGCCTGAATCAGAAGCGGCGCGTGCATTCACACAGATGGTGGCAGCCGTAGGATATTGCCACGCCAATGGGGTCGTACACAGGGATCTGAAAGCGGAGAACTTGCTGCTAGACAGGGATATGAATATTAAGGTAAACTTAAATAATATTAAATTAAATACCCTATTTTACCATGTTGACTTTTTTAACGGTCCGCGCGTAACTGTGAACCAAGAAGTGCTTAAGTGGTGTTCAAGCACTTCTTGATTGGAACACATTTTGAGCGCACGTGGTGTATCTAGCGTATTTAATATCGTATGTCTTAAACCAGTGGGCCAATCGCCTAACCAGATTGCTTTGGAAAACGCTATCGCTTACGATTTCATTTTGTTATTTCTAACCGCCGAAGGTTTTCAAATACCTCACGCTCATTTTCTTTAACATTGTTATTACCAATGCAAAAGAAAAAAAAAGAGCCGAGGCATTTGAAAACCTCAGGCGGCTAGAAATAACAAAATGAAATCGTAAGCGATAGCGTTTTCCAAAGCAATCCAGTTAGGCGATTGGCCCCCAGGTTAGTTAAACTATGTTTAGTAGTTTTTGCGCGATTGAATTACAACAAACATTTTCACGTTTATAATTATTAGGAGGATTGGTAGGATGTGCTGATGTTGATGATATTTGCCAACAGCTCGCAGACTTCGGCTTCAGTAACGAATACACCGCAGGGTCACCGTTGGCCACGTGGTGCGGCAGCCCGCCCTACGCCGCGCCGGAGTTGTTCGAGGGGCGCCGCTACGACGGACCCAAGGCGGATATATGGGTGAGTGAATTATTGCGAATACCTCCTCGCAGTTAATGATATCCTGGTACTTCTGGGCAGCGGCGTGCTCTAAAACTGTGAAAATGGGGTTAGGTAAGTGCCACACCTCCTAGCAATGTATGATAGCCTGGTACTTGTCGACAGGGGAGGAGTGTGGTGCACCTCGGTGTTTATGACAACCTGGTACGTGTGCACAAGGGACTGCTTTATTAATCATGGTAGTAACTCAAAGCAAACATAAAGGTGGGTGTAGTATCTCCTAGCAGCGTATGTTGGCCTGGTACTTGTGAATAGGGGACTGCTTTAAAACCGTAGTTAAATGGGTTAAACCAAATCAGGTATTGACCTTCCTCGCAACGTATGGTAGCCTAGTACTTGGAGACAGAAAACTAGTGGGTTAATCCAGGAACTTGGGAAAAGGAGGGCTGCTTTAAAACTAAGGATGGTTTAACTCTGGGGAGATATATAGGTTCCTGGTAGCTTATGATGGCCTGGTAAGGCAGACAGTATGGTTGAGTGACTTTCTCACAGCGTATGTACTTACTGGTACTTGAATATACAAGTACAGACAAAGATATTTGATTCAGAACGTAACCAGCAATATAATGTGTGGGATAGAATAATATATACTGTGGGGTTATGAATATAATATGCTATATGGGTAGAATATATAAATATTACGGGATCTCCGTTGGCTACGTGGTGCGGTAGCGGAGCCAAGGCAGGTTATACGGGTGAGTGGATGTCATGAACTGCGAATATCTCCTGGTAGTTTATTGAAGCCTGGTACTTGTGGTGAAAAGACAGCTTTAAAAACATGGTGAGATTAAAAGAAAGAAAGGGATGTAAACCCAGGGCAGATGTATAGGTAACTGATATACCTCTTCGCAGCGAATGATAGCCTGGTACTTGTGGACAGGCTATTTGGAGGGCGCCGCTACGAAAGGTGGACATTTGGGTGAGTGGGTGTCATAGACCGAGAGTAACCTCTCGCCATCTTCTTGCAATTTATTATGGCCTAGTCTCGGAACAAGAACTCATAAAAGTCGACTTATATAGTTTTTGACGTGATAGTAAATCGATGAACACTGGCTGCACGCACTAAACAGTGTGACGTCATGTCACGTTGTCACAAGTTAATACAACGTTCTGCGGAGTGAGAGGTGAGGTTGAGGGCTTCCTTCGAATTAAAGTCGTAGTTATGATAAAACTCAAGGCATATAATTATGGGTGAGCATCATCCTCCTCTCAGGGTATGATGGTAGCCTGGTACTTTGGACATGAGACTACTTTAAAAAACGATTTATGGAACAGTGACTAAACGCAAAATCCAGTGCGGATTGGTGGGTGCTGACGGCTTAGTATGCCTTCCGAAGCACAAAGGAGCTCGAGTTAATAAGTTTTTGGTCACCCATCCAATGACCAACAATTGCCAAAGTTGTTTAACTTCCTCGATCGCAGGTTGAACCCGCTATCTACCTGCTCCATCGAGCTCCCCATCAGATAGCACAATACATATTTGGTAGTTATTGTGGGTTCAGAAAACAGCATTTGTTGATTTTACAGCTAAACTTTTAATCAAATTGAATTTATTGAAGTGAAACTTGAAAGGTAAGCTGGCGAATGCGTTACGCGTTACGAAAAGTGTGTTCGGACGAGGCGAACGGGAGTTGAGTGGGCGATATAAGCAAGAGGAAGCAGTGCGCGCGCACATTTTCTTTCTCTCTTTCTCTTATAGCTAGTAAAAGAAATATGTATAGGTATGTATATACTTGTATATATTGTACACGCACACACATACACTCGTTTATACATACAGATGGAGCTTCACATTCAAGAAGTTTCACTTCAGACGTGTGGACATAAGCACACTGGTTTTTATTTATTTATGGACCAACAACATTAAGAACATCGCATTATAACCACTTAGAGTCTGTGCGGAAAGAAAATGGGCGTGGCGAAAAACTTAGTTCACTTTTTCGCCACGCCCATTCTCTTATTAAGATTTTTATTTGGCAATCAAACCCAGCAATCTGTAAAATGTCAAAGTTTTGTATTGATACGGGATTTGTTTGTTGTTGTGATTTCTTGCGGTTTTTTTAAATCATGTCTAAAAGGGGTAAAACCATACAAATACGGTAGAAAAGCACTACAACGCCCTCCAATCTAAATCCCATTCACTTTCCGAACAGACTCTATCTACATATGACGACCTCCGTGGCCGAGTAGTTTGTACGCCGGCTTTATGGTGTCGCCGACTCGAGAGGTCCCGAGTTCAAATCCCGATGGGGGCAGATGTTTGTGTGATGAATACGAGCATTTGTACTTTAGTCATGGATGTTTAATATGTATTTCTATAAAAAAAAATATACTTATCTGTTTATGTATTCTATCCGTTACCCTAGTATCCCATAACACAAGCCTTATAGTGCTTACTTTGGGCTAGGCTAATTGGTGTGAGTGGTGGAAATATTTATTTAATTATTTATTTACATATCTTATGATTTTTCTCCCACAGTCATTGGGCGTAGTTCTGTACGTGCTAGTGTGCGGGGCTCTCCCCTTTGACGGGGGAACGTTGCATGAGTTGAGAACTGTGGTACTTGCTGGCAAGTTCCGGATACCGTACTTCATGTCACAAGGTGAGTGATACGAAATTAGCTGCAAGCTTTCATTTATATGAATCAAAATGTCGTAGTAGAAAATCGAGTATACGATTATCAACTTTAAGTGTAATCGATTAAGACTGAAAATGTACTGTCAACTTCATGCAGCTTTGTATAGTCTGTAATAACCACGTGTTTCTCGTAGACCAACTTGGTCCAACTATTTATGCACAACAAGAATGCGCTCCTATTAACATACTCTCGAATGGGAAATAGTAAAAAAATGCAATAGGGGTGATGACGGGGTACAGGAAACGAAATTCTATTTAGTCCGTCAGTTAGATGATCAAAAAATAATGGACACGTATTTTTTCTTTGGGCAATCAACCAAAAAATGACAAAGTTATAGCGCGTCAAAGTTTGGGAGTAGGGGCCCGTGACGTCACTTTTAAGTGAAAATTGTATCAAAACGTGACGTCATGCGACTTTTCAAATCAATATATCTCTGCAATGTTTATATTATGTGAAAAAAGAAAAAATAAGTGTCTAATACTTTTTGATAATCTACCTGATAAACGAAGAAAAAAAATTAGGCATCATCCCTATTATTGCCATTCCTGACGGGTGACATATTTTTTATTTTGTGAATTAGATATTATTCATAAGTAGGTTAAGGTAATTTGGATTAAAATTTTATACATTAGGTAGTTTTTAAGATGTAATTAAATTTTCTATACAGGGTTAATTTTAAAACACCAACAACCTCTTAGGGGGTGATTCTACCCATCAAAAAAAACCAGCTGTCTCATACATTTCGGTCGATTAGCTGATGCAGTTTTGTATGAAACAGCAGATTTTTTCTTCGCGATTTCAGCGTTGGTTCCATAATATAAGTTGTTCCTGTTGATGGGTAGATCACCCCCTAAGAGGTTGTTGGTGTTTTAAAATGAACCACCCTGTATATTAAAACTTATTACATTATTAAATAAAAAAATAATAATGTTAAAACCATGTTGCATAACGGTTGTACTTGGTGTGTATTTTTTTTTGTATTCGGGAACTTGAGTTGTGCTTATTGAACTTAAATGGTGTCGTTTGAACTTTGACAAACTTTGATTCGAAGAAAAGATGTTACAGTTTAGACTAGGCGCGCACATACGATTTCCTTATTAGGAATCCCGATTCGAAAACCTGATTGCACGTCCTTACATAAAAAATGTTCAACTAGGTGAAAACTATTAAAATATCTGAATTTCCCACGACTTTTATATCGTTAATTTCTTTCTCGTAACGAAATTTTATTGACAAATATTGATGAAGGGACAACTTTAAAGTTAGAGTTTATGACTTTTAAGTAATAGAGTTTATGTAAAAATAATATGAGGCTTATTAGTAAAATTCCATGCATCTGGCTTTCTTTCTTTTTCTAAAGAAATTTTTTATTCGGCCCAAGTGAAGATATAGGCATTAATCGAAGAAATTTCTCACATTTTTATTAGTTATCTCTGAAAAAATTCGGCAGCCCGTATAGTGCCGGGACAAGTACATTGGATAATTGGCTCGACTTGAATTTGTTGCCTAGTAAATTTTTTTCTCTAAATACGCAATAGGGATGACCACACAGATATATTGATTTGAAATGTCGCATGACGTCTGTGAATTACCAATAGTGACGTCACGACCCCCTCCCCCATCCACACAAAATTTGATGTATTTTTACCATCGTTTTTCTTTGGTCTATCAACCAAAAAAATTACGATGGTAAAAATGCATCAAATTTTGTAATGTACTTGTCCCGGCGCTATACGGGCTGCCGAATTTTTTCAGTGATAACTAATAAAAAAATGTGAGAAATTTCTTCGATTAATGCCGATATCTTCACTTGGGCCGAATAAAAAAAAAATCTTTAGAAAAAAAAGAAAGCCAGATGCATGGAATTTTACTAATAAGCCCCATTTTTTTATTTTTTTTACTTTAAAGTTGTCCCTTTATCAATATTTTATAATAAAATTTCGTTTCCAAAAAAGAAATTAACGATATATATAAATTGTGGGAAAATTCAGATATTTTAATAGTTTTCACCGCGTTGAACATTTTGTATGTAAGCAAGTGCATTCAGGTTTTGGAATCGGGATTCCTAATTAGGAAACCCTGATTGCTTACATACAAAAATGTTCACCGATTATTTTATGATGGATTAAAATCGTAACCCCTTTTATTATCCTGTCATTTTTTCCAGTAAACAATAATCTTCATTAACATTTAGACGAGCTCACACCGAGTTTCAAGGTGTAGCCTGCTCGTGGGGTCCCGGGTTCCAATCCTGGTGGGGGCAGATGTTTGTGTGATGAATACGAGCATTTGTACTACAGTCATACATGTTTAATATGTATTTCTATATAAATATACTTATACATGTACAGTATATGTATTCTATCTGTTATTCTAGTATCCCATCCTATAACACAAGCCTTACAGTGCTCACTTTGGGGCTAGGCTGATTGGTGTGAGTGTTGGAAATATTTATATTATTTTATTTATGTTTTGTTCAGAATGCGAGCACCTTATCCGTCACATGTTAGTGGTTGAACCCGACAAACGTCTCACATTGAAGGGGGTCGCCAGGCATCGCTGGCTCGCCGCCACCGGGCCCGGCCCGCCGCACGGTCAGTGACACCCACACACTACACTAACACCCGCACACTATACTGACACCCACACACTACACTAACACCCACACACTACACTAACACCCGCACACTATACTGACACCCACACACTATACTGACACCCACACACTACACTAACACCCACACACTATGCTGACAGCCACACACTACACTAACATTACGCAACAACATTACGCTAACACCGAAACACTGACTTAAAACTAACACCCACACACCACACTAACATTTAAACACTACACTAACACCTAGACACTACACTTACACCTAAACACTTTATTAACACCTTAACATTACACTAGGTGTTAGTGTAGTAGTTAACACTACATTGATACTTTATTTAAGAAAAGAAGTTTCACTTCAGTACCCTTAGTACGAACTATTATCGAATTCGAATAGTTTGCAAACCGAAATATCAATGTCAAATTTTGTATGGAAACTTGAACAGCAGCGGCACAAAGTGCGTAACGAGAACTAAAAATCAGTACACATTTGACAATGATATTTCGGACTCGCAAACGATACGAATTCGATATTGGTTCGTGCTAGGGGTACTGATGTGTGCTCCGTACACACTATTTTTTTTTTTATAAGGAAATAACAATTAACTCCCCCATATTTGGTGACAGATGCGTCAGAAGGCGCTTGCTCCTGCCACCCCGCGGTCCCCGCGCGGGGGGACGATCATTGTCACGACACAGTACTGGCGCATATGCTAACTCTACCTGGCCTCACCCGACATACTATATTACAGGTGAGTTCTCACATCGTTGTTTAGTATCTATTATCATCATCAGCCTCTTAATGTCCCCACTGCTGGGGCAAAGGCCTTCCCTACGGATGGAATAGGGAGATTGGGCCATGACCCACCACGTGGGCCCAGTGCGGATTGGCGGGTGCTAACGGCTTAACGTGCCTTCCGAAGCACGAAGGAACTCGAGATAGAAATTTTTGGTCACCCATCCAATGACCGACCACTGCGAAAGTGGCTTAACTACAACGATCGCAGCCGAACGCGCTAACCACCCGCGCCATCGAGCTCCTCCGTTTAATATCCATATTGTTATATTTTTTATTTTTAAGCATTTTACTACTAGATGCATAAATGTAAAGAAAATTTTACTACAAAAAAATCCACGTTTATCGTGCAGCTTAAGAAGGACTGAAGAAAATTCGACACGGCCATCAGAGCCGCGGTAGCATAATGGTCAGTGCATTCGCCCGGATAGCGTACAGTGCGGGTTCGAGTCCCGTCGAGCTGCCTGGTCCGGGTGGAATTGTTTCTAGTAAAATTTTCTTGCCTGGGACCTGTGCCCTAGCAGTGGGGACTCTAATAGGCTGATAAAGATGAAAGACAAAAGAAAATGGTTTGAGCGACATTCGCATGGAATCAATTAATGTTTGTTTGTCTCTATGTGTTCGTTAACATAATTTATTTTATCATTTCTCTCACAGTCTGTGCAAGAGGAACGATTCGACCACATATCAGCTATCTACCACTTGTTAATGGACAAAATTCAGCAAAGACATCACACCAGGAATACGTTACAGCACAGGGGTGAGTGCTTCATAATCACAATCATTTATTTCGTAATAAATTACTCGTCAATCATAAATTTTATAATAGAAATACATAGAGTATTAACTATACTTTCAATGAATAGGGTATTTGACAGTATTAAAAATAAAGTGCCAATTGTTAGCATCTGTATTAAGAATGAATATTGGCTGGAGTTCTTACTAATTTTACAAAAAAAATATTCATAATTTTACTAAAAATCCACTATAAAGATAATACTTTTCTTGTCTATTGCCACGTGACCCAAAACGCTTTGGATTGGTGGAGCCTAAAATGACGTCACACGCAAGTAAACTTCCGGTTAAAGTGACATTAGATTGTATGGTTTGACGTTTTAATGACAGTCGTGTGATGTCACACACCAGTGAGACGCCATATTGTCCAAAGATACGTTTTTCGAGGCAATTTGAAGATAGAGTTTTTGATTTAGTTTTTTTTACCGAAATACACAACTAAAGATGAATCCACTTTTTATGGACTCTATAAACATTAGTAAATAACGTGAGATCGTTTTCTAAAACTTGTCAAATACCCTATTTAGTTTTAAGTTTAGGGAATCATGCCAGAATCGACTCTAATGTACATTAAATAAAGTATTATTTTGTTTGTTTCTTAGGTTTTCACGCACACCAGTCATGAAACAAAACAATTTAATGAGTAGTGTGTAAGTTTTATATAAGTATAACTTTGTTTGCAGATTCATTAGATTCAACGACAGGACAGCCTTTAGATCTCACTAGTTGTAAGGTAAGGATATAACACATTAAGGTCGTTTATCGCTTGTACACTATGTCATGAATTAGAATTGAATTTTAAAATGCATTTTGTTATTTTATGAAACAGAAACTTAACATTATCCGACTCCTTTTTGCCTAAACTATCGCAATAGGCTAGTTGACTCATGTCGAATCGTGTTAAATAACTGTTTATTTCTTAAAGTATTCGGTCTAAGGAACCTAAATATATCTATTTCAATACATAAAAGCGGAAGATTGCTGTAGAAATTTAATTTTAAAAAATAATTTTTAGTCTATATTTTTTAAACACTAAAAACGCTGTTCGCCACATCCGCCATGGTACCGATGTCTCTTTGGTAGTAATAAACTAAATGTCATTCATATATAACCTTAAAACTTTTATTATTAAAACTGATAATAAATTCATCATCATCATCATATCAGCCGTACGACGCCCACTGCTGGACATAGGCCTCCCCCAAGGATCTCCACAAGGATCGGTCCTGCGCTGGCCGCATCCAGCGTTTTCCCGCGACCTTCACCAGATCGTCGGTCCACCTTGTAGCGGGTCTTCCCACTGAGCGTCGTCCATTCGAGAACCTTTCCGCCCCAACGGCCATCGGTTCTCCTCGCTATGTGTCCCGCCCACTGCCACTTCAGCTGGGCTATTCTTCGAGCTATGTCGGTGACTTTAGTTCTCCTACGGATCTCGTCATTTCTGACTCGATCACGCAGGGAAACACCGAGCATAGCTCTCTCCATTGCCCGCTGGGCGACCTTGAGCCGTCCTATGAGACCCATAGTAAACGACCGCGCCTCACTGCCATAGGTCATCACTGGCGACACACACTGGTTGAAGACTTTCGTCTTAAGGCATTGAGGTATTTTGGACGCGAAGATGTTCCGCAGCTTCCCGAACGCTGCCCATCCGAGTTGGATTCGACGAGAGATCTCTTTCTCGAAGTTGGACTTACCTAACTGGATTGTGTGTCCTAGGTAAATAGTGGTCGACAACTTCGAGTGTAACGTTCCCAACATTAACTGGAGCGGGTGCAACATGGGCGTTGGACATGATTTTAGTCTTGTCCATGTTCATCTTGAGACCCACTCGCTGGGATGCGTCACTGAGATGCTCGAGCATGGTGTTCAGGTCTTCCAAGGTCTCCGCCATTAGGACTACGTCATCGGCAAATCGAAGGTGTGTCAGGTACTCGCCGTTGATGTTAATGCCGAGTCCTTTCCAGTCCAGAAGCTTAAAAATATCCTCCATCGCAGCAGTGAACAGTTTCGGAGATATAACGTCTCCCTGTCTCACCCCTCGCTGTAGTTGGATAGGATTAGAGCTCTGATTCTGTACTCGGACCGACATAGTGGCGTTTTGGTATAGGTACTTTAACACTTCGATATACCTGTAGTCCACTTGGCACCTCTGGAGAGACTGCAGCACCGCCCAGGTCTCGATCGAATCGAAGGCCTTCTCATAGCCTACAAACGCTAAGCAAAGTGGCCGATTATACTCTTCGGTCTTCTGTATAATCTGCCGCAGCGTATGGATGTGGTCTACGGTACTAAAGCCTTTTCGGAAACCGGCTTGTTCGGGAGGCTGGAAGTCGTCGAGTCTGCGAGCGAGACGATTCGTAATGACTTTCGAAAACAGCTTGTAGATATGGCTCAGAAGCGAGATGGGTCTGTAGTTCTTCAGTAGGGTCTTATCGCCCTTTTTGAAGAACAAAATCACCTCGCTTCTGCTCCATGCCTTCGGCGTTTTGCCCTGGTGGATGACGGAGTTGAAGAGCGTCTGGAGGACTTTAAGTACCGGCGTACCGCCCGCTCTCAGAAGCTCTGTTGTGATTCCGTCATCTCCCGCCGCCTTGTTGTTTTTAAGCTGTTTGAGGGCAATTCTAATCTCGTACAGGCTGACGTCCGGGATATCCTCGGTATAATGTCGGGTAAGCTTGGCTCTATGATCTCGAGCTCTGCTTTCGCCTGGTGTTCTGCTGGAATATAACTGCCTATAGAAACTCTCAATGTTTCAATGATAATAAATTAAGAGACTTAAAATATTATTCAATGAGTACTTACATCAAAGTCTTCGCTAAAATATTTTTTTCTACGAGTCAATAAAGTTGCAGGCTCCCTTTTAGCAAGTTCTAACCAGGTATTGCGTAGGTTAATTTCTTTCGGCACTTTAATCCACAACTTTCCTGGAGTCTTCAATCAATCAATCAATCAATCAATCAAAATCATTTATTCAGTTTAGGCTGTTACAAGCACATATGAATGTCGAGAAGCTACGCCATCGGTTCGTAAATCTACGGCGGGAGACCTTGTACTGAGAAGAACCGGCAAGAAACTCAGCAAGGGCTGTTTTTTTTCTCCCTGTTTTATCATTTACAGAGTCGTCAAGTTGAAAAATGACTTCAGAGATGATTCATGAAGTCACCCTTCATTACATAATGTGAAATTATACATTAATTGTACACCTGCATTTTGATTGCTGTGTCACACAGTATAAATACAAACAGAGTTATTTATAATAGGTGTAATTAAACATTTATATCTTAAATATCAAAGTAGTTAGGGCAGACTCATCTCCGCTGGCAGCACCCGTTCACGAGCATGACGCATGAACCAGCCATCGCTTCGCTCAACCATATTTTAGGGAACGTAACGACCCGCCTCACACGACACCACCGAAGAGACTTTTAAGAGAGCATGACTACCCATAACCACCTATATCAACCACAACATATTTACTTAAACTTAAAGTCATTTATCTGTAGGACACTGCAAACAATTACAAAGCAAAAACAATGGAGAAATCATGACCACGCCGTTTTGTCATTCAAATCTTCTTAAATAGTCTGATATTCTTCCTTACGTAATCAGCTTTAAATACAGCTTTTCAATAAAAGTATCATCAACACATGATCCATAATATATATCATATAGAAATACCCGTTGGAATGGTTGGAACAGTTCAAACCCAAGCATTTTTGTCTGTAATATAATCAGACACTTTATAATAAGCATTCTTAATAAGAGTTTTTTTAATAGTCGATTTAAATTTAGTCAGGCTCAACTCTTGAATATTGCTTGGGACTTTATTGTAAAAGCGAACACAGAGGCCTCTAAACGAGTTATTAATTTTGTGGAGCCTAGTAGCAGGTAAAGTTAACTTATTTTTACTTCTAGTATTAAGTGTATGTATTTCACTATTTTTAGTAAATAAACTAATATTTTTTTTGACATATACTAAGTTTTCATATATGTATTGTGATGCAACCGTCATTATGCCTATTTCTTTAAACTTATTTCTTAAAGAGTCCTTAACTTTAAGATTATAAATTGATCGAATAGCCCGCTTCTGCAACACAAATATTGTTTGAATATCGGCGGCATTTCCCCACAGTAAAATACCGTAAGACATTACACTATGAAAATAACTAAAATAGACTAATCTGGCAGTTTCTATATCCGTTAACTGACGTATTTTCATTACAGCATATGCTGCAGAGCTAAGTCTCTTCGACAATTTATCAATATGTGGGCCCCATTGCAACTTTGAATCTAGTGTGATTCCTAAGAACACTGTGGTATCTACAAGGCTCACATTTCGATCCTTTATATTTACATTCGTTTTTACCTGTTTAACATTAGGTAAAACAAATTTCAAACACTTAGTTTTCCCTTCATTTAGCAGTAAATTATTAACGTTAAACCAGTGGACTACCTTAGAAATAGACTTGTTCACGTCGTCAATTTGCGACTGCCTACGTTTAATTTTAAACAAAAGTGAAGTGTCATCCGCAAACAATACTATTTCATGGTTATCCTTTACAAAATAAGGCAAATCATTGATATAAATTAAAAATAAGAAAGGACCAAGGATTGAGCCCTGCGGAACTCCCATCTTAACCGACGAACCAGGAGATTTTTCTCCATTGATGTCAACCCTCTGAACCCTATCACTCAAATATGATACAATAAGATCCAGAGTGGTGTCTCTAAATCCATAGTGCTGTAGTTTCCTGATCAATGTTTCATGAAAAACGCAATCGAATGCCTTTGATAAGTCGCAAAACACACCAAGTGCATCATGCGAGTTCTCCCAGGCATCAAAAATTTGCTGTACAAGCTCAACACCGGCATCGGTTGTTGAGCGACCCCTTGTGAAACCAAATTGTTTACTATGCAGAAAGTTATTACTATAAAAATATGATTGCATTTGATCTAGCATAATCTTTTCAAAAATCTTACTAAAGGTGGGTAGCACGGATATGGGTCTAAAATTTGTGGGGTCAGATGTGCTACCCGATTTATGCAATGGAGTTATTTTACTATGTTTCATTAGATCAGGAAAAACACCACAGTCAACACATTGATTAAAAATGCTAGCCAGAATAGGAGCTATTGTCTCAATTACTGATCTAGAAACATCCACGGAGTTACCCCACAGATCCGCGGTTTTCTTTTTATTCAATTGGTTAAAATATTTGATTATGTCTTTAGAGTTAACATATTTAAATTTAAATTGACTAGTACCTTGTGTTATGTTTTCTTTTAATATTGATTCAGCAGCAATGGGGGAGGAGTCCAAGGATTTTGTAGTTGAAACTGGAATATCAGTAAAAAAATTCTCAAATGCTGTAGCAACTTCAGTATCTGATGTAACATTTCTATTTTCAATGTTTAAATTAAAGCTGGTATTTCGAGATTTAGATTTTCCAGTTTCATTGTTTATAATGTTCCATGTCATTTTAATTTTGTCATTACTATTCTTAATCTTACAACTTAAATAATTTGATTTAGCTGTGCGACATACCTTTTTAAATAACTTAGAATAATTACGTACATACTCTCTGAATCTTTCAGTAGTATTAATGCTGCGTTCATTGTATAGTTCATAAAGTTTTCTTCTACTGTTATGTATGCCTGGGGTGGCCCACTCACTGAAGGTTACTGCATCACTAACACATATGGTTTTGGGAACGAAGACGTCATTAAATTCTTTACAAAATATATTAAAAAAATCATTATACAACTCATTTGGACTGTCTTTATACTTTAAATAACTCAACTTCCTATCTAATTGAATTTTAAAACGCTGTATACGATTAACTGATTTTGGCACAATAGTGATACATTTCTTGGTTACATTTTTATTTGGATGTGGAAAAGTAATCAACTGACCACAATGATCACTATCTAGTTGATTAACGATTCTTTTTTTATGTGGTATTATATCCGTATAAATATTGTCAATACAAGTGGCCGAAGTGGCCGTTATTCTAGTAGGCTCCATGAACAAGTTTTCCAGATTATATGATTGAAATAGATTTCTTAATTTAATACTCAAACTAGAGGTTTCTAATAGATTAATATTAAAGTCACCACAAACAATTAATTGTTTACCAGTGATGACAATTTTTTTTAAAGCTTCATCCATAATTTCTTCAAAACAATCATACAATGCTGAAGGAGGTTTGTATACACTCAGTACAATAAGCCGGTCCAGTTCCACACAGGCGATTTCTATTGTTCGCTCAACCGAGAGGCTCACAATATCTTTACGTTCCTTAAATTTAAGTGTATTATTTAATAAAATTAAAGAGCCACCGCGAATTGCATTTTCTCGACTGAACGAACTACCAACCTGATGATTATTAAAATTAAACATGAATTGATGACTTTTAAGCCAATGTTCTGTGATACAAAATATATCTATATTGTTACAATTCATAAATAATTCAATTTCTAAGTCCTTACCCATCATTCCTTGAATATTTATATGCATCAGGTTGATAAAGTTTACATTGATTTTTAAGTTTTTGGATGGATTTTTTTTGGTTAAATTAATATTTTTATGAGAGTTATAACAATTATTATTTATTAATATGCAAGAGGAATTGTCTTTTGTCTCATTATTTAATTTAAACAATAATTATTATTTACTAATTTGTCAGTAGAAGAGCTACTGACTGTCAAGTTATTAATAGAACATTGCTCAATAAAAGCAATTTGTTTAGCCAAGTTTTTGGCTGTTATATAAAAATAATATGATAGCGACTTAGCTATCTGTCTTTTACAATAATTAGAAAGATAATATTTATCTTTGGTCAAATATAAATTCCTAACATAATTGTTAGTGTCAATAACATGAAATTTTTCACTTTTACACATTGTGAATAAAAGCATATTTAATTTATATCTTAATAAATTTTCCTCCTTTGGCAGACTCCTACAATAGGGCAATGTAAACAATATAATTTTTTCAACATTTAAAGAACTCAATTCATTAACATATTGGATCAATGATTTTTTGTTCACATTGCCTCTATTTCCAACAAAAAATAACAGAGTAGCGCATTTATTGTAATTTTGTTTGGTTGCCTTTCCTAAAATATCCCCATATGAAACATTAGGCATACAGTGATTGATAACTGAATGTCCCATTTTAGACAAAAGAGGGCCCATGCCCTTGCCAATTTCATCACTAAATAATATGATGTTTTTATAATTATTATCTAAAACTAAGTCTGAGTGAATTGTTTTCACTGTGGTCAAACATTTATTTGATGGCGGCTGTGGGGAATTAACAATAACACATTGTGATATGGAGGAATCACAATTGGCAGGTGACTGAGCTGTGAACTGTTTACAATCACATGTGTGATTGTTAGTTAAGGAATGAAATCTCTCATTGTTATAATTACATAATTCAACCAACTCATTCATTGCCTTCATGTGTTCCTTTATTTCTTTTTGTGACAATTCATATTTTTTTGTAACACTTAAGAGACACTCTTGTAATTGTTCAATTTTACTTTGTAATATTTGTGTGTCTTTTTTATATCTTAAAAGGATGGAGGAGGATGGAGGAGGATTAATCTTTCAAGGATGTGTTTTAACATTCTCGTACAATACAATAATGATTATTACTATATTTTTCGTGGTATTTATTAGTAATCATGTTTTTTTTTTTATAAACTCAGACAGGTTATTTCCTACGTGCTTACGAGTTTTTGTTTACTACAGTTGAGGTCATAGCATAGACAATCTATAGACTTAAATGGCCGACAGCGTTTTTGTATGTCCATGAAAAGTCTATTTTAAAATTAAAGATTTGTAGCTTTCAAGGTTTCCAAAAATACAATATTTTTTTTTTCGGTCTAATAGAGCATTTATTAACCATTTAAAACCTTTTACCAAAAAGGGTCAACTAGCCTATTATTACATTTGTTGATTTTATCTTAAGTACAGTGAAATACCCTATTGTGGATGAAGATGAAGTACAATTTTCTTTAGATTGAAACATCTAGCAGTTAAATGCTTATTTATTGGTTTTATTTCCAGAGTTCTGATGAAGAACAGATGGAGGCAGAGGATTCCACATCACAAGAGTGCCTCGTTTCCATCCCCTGCATCAATGTAGACTACCTCACACATAGAACGGATAGTTTAGAAAAGGTAAGGGAATTCATTTATAGGTTATATTTACCGTTAATAGCTTTATTTAAATTATAGCTACAACGATATTAAATACCCTAGATACACCACGAGCGGTCAAAATGTGTCCCAATCAAGAAGTGCTTGAACTCCACTCAAGCACTTCTTGGTTCACAGTCACGCGCGGACCGTTACAAAGTCAAGATGCCACAGAGCTCCGCGAAAAAATGCGAAAATCATACTTAGAGTAAGAAAAGTGTCGTTTTTTCGACAGGTATCTAGTCAATGTTTGTTAATTTAACGCATTTAAAGTAAATTTTGATCTAATATTTACTATAAACTGATTTAATATAAAATATTTGTGATATTCAAATAAATGCATGGTCGGTTAAACTTCGCCATAAAGCCGTCTCTTTTCTTCGCGGTCCGTGCCTGCTATATTGCTAACAGTGCGTTTAGAATTGCGCGTAAAGTCAAAGACTTAAGGTCTAAATTCTTCCGCATATAGCAATAAGTCGTAAAATTTTACGAGCTTGCATTTCGAACTGTCAGAAGTCCTTGACGCATGCGTTTTATTTAAGACCTTATACAGTATGTATTAAAGGTTACTTTTAATATTTAAATAATGCCTTATATTGATTTTGACTACGCGATCATCTTACGGAGCTCCGTGGATCGTTCAATGTACCTTTTGGACAGGTTTCGGGCACGAATTTGTTCGTGTTGGTGTATCTAGAGTATTTAATATCATTGTAATTAACCGAAAAAAAACGGAGGAGATAGAGGAGAAGTCGACGCGTATATATATATTTTTTTTATGTATAACCACGCATAACTTTTTACATAGTAGTCAGATTTTTATATTTTTTTTTTTTGGAATTGTATAGGTACCCATACTCCGAATTTGGTCTCATGTGAATTTGGATAAAAAAAACTAACCCTAAGGTTATGAAAACAGGGGATAAATGATTTGTTCATTCACTGATTGTAATTTATGACCAGACATGACTTTTTACAGACTTTTTTTTGGAAAGGAGGATACATCAAAGTTAATCTCGCATAAATTTGAAAAAGGAGTACTACCCTAAGGGTGAGATATAGGGGTGATTGTTCACTCCCAGATAGCCACAAGGAATTGTAGAACCAACACTTTTTAACAAAAAAATTAGACCACCGAAAAGTAAAGTTTTTTTATTTTATTTTAATCTTTTTTATGCAAAATAGGGCATGGCCATGCGTGACCACAATCTCACCTGATGGAAAGCGATGATGAGGCCTAGAATGGTACACGCCTGCCTAGAAGATGCCTGTTCACTCTGGCCTTGAAGATGTCCAGATTATATTGGTCCGGGAAAACAGAACTCGGCAAGGAGTTCCACTCCCTAGCCGTTCGCATTATGAAGGCCGAAGCTATTATCATCGTCTGAAAGTTGCTAGTATTTGAAATAAAAATTGTTTAAACCTAGTCTTGCTTTAAAAATAATTTGAGTCATGATTTTATTTATTTTTTAAGCATTTAACTGCTAGATGTTTAAATCTAAAGAAAAGTTTACTAGAAAAAAATCGACTCGGACCAGGCAGCGGACGGGACTCGAACCCGCATCCTTCGCTATCCGGGCGAATGCACTGACCATTAAGCTACCACGGCCCTATTAGCCGCGTCGAAATTTTCCTAGCCTTAAGCTGCAAGGGGGGTTCGAGTCTCGTCCGCTGCCTGGTCCGCGTGGATTTTTTTTTTCTAGTAAACTTTTCTTTATAATTTGAGTCGTCACGGGACGCCTGGCAGATCTGAAACTCTAGCCGGTTTACGATAAATACACTCGGAGAATTGCTCGGGATGCGTGCGGTAAAAAAATGACATAGGTCCTCCCTCGAAAGGCGCTAGCGCCGTACTGATTAGTCTTATGTAGTACGCGAACGAACTAGGTCGTAAGAGCGCTCCCACGCAGTGTTGCCAACTCTACGTCCTTTTACGTAGATCTACGTATTTTAGGCCTTTTCTGGAAACCTACTAACTTCAGTCCCAGAATCTACGTATTTTCTTATTTTTTTTCAAATTTGTAAAATAACTTAATTCACTAGAATAAAGAAGAATATTTTCCGTTACTTTACTTAAAAACTAAATAAATAAATGTTTACCACAGCATGGTAAATGCTTCCAATGCAGCGACTTCTCCAAGAACTCTTTGTTCTATCTCCCGTTCTTAAACAAATTGTATAACAAAATACTCGTTTTATTCGGTTTCAAATAACTTATTCATTTCACTCAGAAAAAAGTACGTGGATATACTTACTTTTCATATGCAAAATTTACCAATTCTACGTAATTTTCTCATCGGGTCTACGCCTTTTTCAAAATCCGAGTTGGCAACACTGCCCCCACGGGTGAACTACTCGAAATAGTTCCCTCATTCCCCGTTCCATAGTTCATTAGTTCGCGTTCGTAACCGAATGAGCGAGTGGCATTAACCGTACGTATATCGTTACGAAACTCATCATACACACACGGGTAAAGTTTGGAGGGTTTTTCGAGGCCGGCTCTGTGTTTGACACACAGTTTATCTTTAAATAAGTCTTCAATCAAAAATAATTTCTACAGACGTATTTAAAAAAGGTGAAGTATTAAGAAATATATTTTTAAAGAAAATATAACTAGAAAAAATTCCACGCGGACCAGGCAGCAGACGGGACTCGAACCCGCACCCTTCGCAATCCGGGCGAATGCACTGACCAATTATGCTACCGCGGCCCTCACGGACCGCGTCGAAATTCTTTCTAGCTATTCTTAAGCTGCAAGACAGCGCCATCTCTTCGCATTATAGGTAAACCCACAATGTCAAATGAATACTTTTACAAGTATTAAACATTTGAAAGAAGAAATAGCAATTATAGTTATAATTTTTATTATTTTTAAAGCATGTAACTGCTTGATGTTTAAATCTAAAGAAAATATAACTAGAAAAAATTCCACGCGGACCAGGCAGCAGACGGGACTCGAACCCGCACCCTTCGCAATCCGGGCGAATGCACTGACCAATTATGCTACCGCGGCCCTCACGGACCGCGTCGAAATTCTTTCTAGCTATTCTTAAGCTGCAAGGCAGCGCCATCTCTTCGCATTATAGGTAACGTCTGCTGCCTGGTCCGCGTGGAATTTTTTCTAGTTATATTTTCTTTAGATTTAAACATCAAGCAGTTACATGCTTTAAAAATAATAAAAATTATAAATATATTTTTATCACTACTTCTATTCAAACGGAGATATTTGCTGTTTTAAAAGTACAAAATTGCAAGTAAAAGTACAGCATTCGATAATCTTGTCACATTCGGCCAGAGCAGTATCATAACGAACGAACTAGAAGAACGAACTAGTTCGTTTAGGGTCGGCGATCTTAGTTGAGAACTACTTAGCCCAAGACTAGTACTCATCGGCGAGTAGTTGAGCACTGGTAGTCGCCATGCTAGAAATCGGTTTTACGTGCGTCAAAAGATGTTTCACATCAGAAAAGATTTTCTAATATTATGTTCTTTTCCCACAGTTCGGCGACGGCTCAATAACAGTGGTAGAAGAGAGATCACATCTCCCTACAACCACTAACGAACCCCACGCCACGAGACGGCATACGGTCGGCCCCGGCGACTGCAGGCATACGCAGGTTTGTACACCTTATTCACAAGAGAATAGGGCTGAAATTTCATGCTTACAACTCTTAAAAATCATGATAGCCTAGTACATGGTAATTTAATATCACGAAAATTAGAAAATAAATAAACAGATTGTACGCCTTATTTTATTAGATTTGAAATCTTTCAATCGGGAAAGCCTCATAGTCACCTTCTACTAGGTTATGTCATCCTGGTACTGTCGTCATACGTACTGTACATCATCAGCAGCCTATTAATGTCCTGAATGCTCGGGTATAGGGTTATTTAGTTTTCGATCTCCCCTCACTTTTCTTTGATGGATTAGCGAAAGAGTGGGTTGACAGAAAACTAAATATGTCTCGCTAATCCATCCATAGGGAATCCCTATGCCCCAGCAGTCAGGACATTAGACTGGACATGATGATGATATGTACAGTACGTATGACGAAAGTACCAAGAAGACATAATGTAACAAGAGGTGACATTGATTCCTTCCAGAATCTCTATATTAATATATATATTGTCGTCTTGGTACTTTCGTCATACGTACTGTACATATCATCATCATGTCCAGTCTAATGTCCTGACTGCTGGGGCATAGGGATTCCCTATGGATGGATTAGCGAGACATATTTAGTTTTCGGTCAACCCACTCTTTCGGTCACGCCTTATTAATTAATATACAGATTGAGTTGAAATCTTATCAATCGGGAAGGAATCATAGTCATCTTCTACTGGGTTATGTTATCCTGGTACTTTCGTCATACGTACTGTACATCATATCATCATCATTACCAGTCTATTAATGTCCTGATTGCTGAGGCAGGTAGAGAGAGTAGAGTAGAGATTGAGTTGATCTGGAACGAATCAATGTCACCTCTTGCTAGATTATGTCTTCCTGGTACTTTCGTCATACATACTGTGCTGATGCATCATCATCATCATCAGTCTATCAGTGTCCTGACTGCTGGGGCATAGGGTTTCCCTATTGATGGATTAGCGAAAGATATTTAGTTTTCGGTCACGCCTTATTAACATAGAGATTGAATTGAAATCTTATCAATCTGGAAGGAATCAATGTCACCTCTTGTTAGATTATGTCGTCCTGGTACTTTCGTCATACATGTCTGTAAGTTTTGTGGCACGAGTTTTGGAACCATTTTTCTGTTCAAGGCAGCAGACGGGACTCGAACCCACACCCTCCGCTATCTGGGAGGATGCACTGACCATTATGCTACCGCGGCCCTATTAGCCGTGTCGAATTCCTTCTAGTATTTCTTAGGCTGCAAGGCAACGCTATCTCTAGATTTCTTTAGATTTACATCTAGCAGTTAACAGAGGTCTTTGTTTAGAGTTAAACTTCCTCATCTGTAATTCGTTGGGATAAGGTTGAATTTAGTTCGATAACAGAGGTAGAAGAGAGAACTCATTTCCCTACGACTACAAACGAATCTCACGCATGAGATGGCATATGGTTGGCCCCGGTGTATAGATCTTATTTATATGGGAATATAGGTGAATTTCGCACTGACTGTAAGGAATCATGAGGGTTATGTTTGTACGACACCCCTCAATAGGTAATAATTGTTAGATAACTCTTTAAAAGTCATAAAAGCCTAGTACGTATCTTGAGAAAAGTAAAATAAATATATGCAACTGCACACATGCTATTGTATTGAATGAGAGAAAGAATCTTGATTGTATGACAATTATATATATTATGTATATATATTCTTTAGTATATTGCAGTTTATTTGTTTTTACAGGGCGGGGAGCTGGGTGTTTGTGGCGCGGCTTCGGCTGATCTGAGAGCTGCTCCGTTATACGGATCTGCACACTTCAATGTGAGTACATAACGTTTGATGAAATACGGTGACTAAAGTACTATATATATATATTTATTTATTTATTTATTTATTAAGAGAAAACCAACAGTGTTACAAATAGTACTTCTATAACTAATATAAATTACGGTAAGACCAATTACAGGTTTTCTTTTATAATCAATAATAAGTGTGATATTAAACAAAACAACAACTGCACAAAAACATCAGCATCGCCAAGTCCTTTAGTTTAACAGAGACAATGTATAAAACAATAAGCAAAACAGCAGCAAGGTTTCCATCATTAATCCATAGTAATAACAACGACAGATTGCAAGAACCCATCAAGCGACCAGGGCCGGGCGATGAGAAACCAAACACACATTTACAATATAATTATAATTGATCTCTCACCAGCCGACACCCGCCAACCAGGCGTGGGCACAAACAGAACCAGAAACGGAACCAAAATTTAGTCACAAGGTATCACAGTGCATCAGATAGGCATCAATTCCGAAGTTATTGCCCTCTTAAAAGTTGTCTTAGATAGTAAAAAAATATCATATTCACTAAAGTGGATGTTATAAGTCATGGGCTGTTTCTAGCATAGTTTGTGGAAGATGGAGGAACGTAAAGCAAAGGTGTGTGTCGTGTACGACGTTTAGGCGTACGATACTTAATACTCTCAACAAGATCAATACAGTCTATCTGTCCGTTAACAATGTCATACAGGAGACTCATATCTAGCAGATTGCGACGGTCCTTGAGATTAAGAATATTATAATTTTGACACGCATCTTGATACGAGTCAAAAGGCTTACGGAAGCGATAGTTCAGATGTTTAATGAACTTTTTTTGGATTTTTTCTAGACGATTTATATAAATAATATATTGAGGCGACCATACTGCACTAGCATATTCAAGTACACTACGGACATAAGCAAAATAAACTGACTTGAAAGTGAATACGTTATTAAATGGTTTGCATGAGCGTAAGACAAAGCCTAAGTTTTTAAAAGCCTTATTAGTTACAGAGCCAATGTGATTAGAAAACAACATTTTTTCGTCTAGTTGCACCCCTAAATCACGAATTTCAGACGATTTATTAATTAACAAACCATCAAATGAATATGGATATATAATAGGTTTTAACTTGCGTGTAAAATGCACGCACTGACATTTTTTTATATTAATGTTTATTTTATTGAGTTTATAAAAGTTAGTTAAATTATCTAAATCTTTTTGGACTTCAATGCAGTCATTATAGCCTCTAATTGAACAGAATATTTTCATGTCATCTGCGTACATTAAGTGCTTAGAAAATTTTATATATTTTGGTATATCGTATATATATACATTATAAAACAAGGGGCCTAAATGAGAGCCTTGGGGCACACCGCTGGGTACAGTGATGAAGTCCGATCTGTAACCACCTACAACAACTGCCTGGGATCGATTTTTTAAATATGATTCTATCCATCTGAGTAAATTTCCTCTAATACCAAGAGCGTGTAGCTTGCTGAGCAGGATGACGTGATCCACACGATCGAAAGCTTTTTCAAAATCTGTGTAGATCACATCAACCTGACCGCCATGATCCATATTTTTTAATACGTAGCCAGTAAAACATGTTAAGTTTGTAATTGTTGAGCGGTTCTTTATAAAGCCATGTTGACTGTCAGGAATGCCTTTAACAATCAATGGATAAATAGCATCATATACTAGTTTTTCAAAGAGTTTACCTATAGTGGAAAGTATTGTAATGCCACGATAATTTTCAACTTTAGTTTTAGAACCATTTTTATGTAATGGTAAAATATGACCTCTTTTCCAAATTGATGGAAATACACCACAACGGAGAGAACTTTCAAATATGATAGAAATTGGTTGTAGTAATGACTCAATACAGTTTATCCAAAAAATCGGAGGTATTCCGTCACTACCAGGACTCTTTGCAACATCCAGTCTTTTAACAGCAGCTTCAATTTCGGTTGATGTAATGCATACATCAGCCAATGTATCAGAACTAACATCATCCGGTTGTAACACAGTACCTCCTAATGACGGTTCCGCAAAAACGCTACGAAAAAAAGTATTAAATGCATACTAAAATAGTTCTGCCCATAGGTTACTTTGTTCGGATAATTGGACCCTCCACGCATAGATTTTACATACCGCCAAAATGCTAGTACTAACATAATTTATCAACATTCCTAATAATATATTTATGCAGATCTGAAATTGACTATTGTAAAAAGTTTAATGTAAAATATTTCGTCGATTAGTTATAATAAATGTATATGAAATGAATAAATATATATTTATATATGTACATTATTTTCATTAATTTGTTAATTTACCCTTTTCATACAGTATCAATCTTTTTTAAGTTAAATAAACTCTTTTTGCGTCCGGTTAGACTATCGAACTTAAGGAGTAAACTTCAGTCGTGCGTCGGAGCTGACACACACATTTTTTTTTATTTTTATTTGACTATATGTTTTAAACTATATGATGCAATAAAGACTATTAAGAATTATTATTATTAATGTGATTTGTTTGTCCAGCAACAAGCCGGTGCGAACGTATCTCTCCTACCGAACACTAACTTGGCAGCGAAGCTACCAGCCGTACAGCATCAACCGCCGAGATATTTCAGCGTCAAAGATCAACATTTACTGAAACCGCCGCACGCGATGCAAAACCACGGTAAATATAGCATTTCAATAATTCATCATCAGCCTATTAATGTCCCCACTGCTGGGGCACAGGCCTTCCCTATGGATGGAATAGGGAGATTGGGCCGTGACCCCACCACGCGGGTCCAGTGCGGATTGGCGGATGCGACTGCAGATGCAGCCGGGACTGACGGCTTAACGTGCCTTCCGAAGCACGGAGGAGTGAGAGATAGTAAATTTTTGGTCACCCATCCAATAACCGACCACTGCGAAAGTTGCTTAACTTTAACGATCGCAGCCGAACGCGCTAACCACTTGCGTCATCGAGCTCCTCTAACTATGAGTCTGAACAATGATTATGTATTGAGTTTTGTTATTTGTTTGTTTGTTTATAGCGTCGTCGTTCGGTCGTCGCGCGTCTGACGGCGGCGCTCACGTCCCGCGCGGGAGGGAGAGAGCCTGCTGTCATTCTGCGCCTGCGCATCATGTGAGTACTTAATATTGTTTATCTACCTACACTCATGGCTCATGGTTGAACGCAATTTTGTGAGTTAGAATTCCCGATTCGTTTACTACTTTTACCATTTAGGAATTACAAAAGTCGTAACAAAAATCCTGACATTTCGATAAAGTCTGGACTTTTTAGTCACAAAATGGTACCATTACTCACTTAGTTACAATAGTGTTGTATTTAAATCAATATGGAATTTTATTATTCATATTCAATATAATTTAAAAAATCCAGACGATTTATGGATCCGGACAAATTCCGGACTATAGTCTAAAAATCCGGACATTTCCGGACTAATCCGGACGGATGGTAACCCCACTCCCAGTTAACCTTTGGGAAAAATGAGAACACGAATCTTCAAAAAAAAAGTTTTTTTATTATGTACTAGTGGCCCGCCCTCGCTTCGCTTCGGGGTAGAATTGATCAAAATCCTTTCTTAGCGGATGCCTACGTCATAACATCTACCTGCATGCCAAATTTCAGCCCGATCCGTCCAGTGGTTTGGGCTGTGCGTTGATAGATCACTATGTCAGTCAGTCAGTCACCTTTGAGTTTTATATATATATAGATTATTATGACACTATGATACTTATTCTAATATATTTTATTATGTTTGTCCAAATTCAGGCATCAGACAGCGGCACCCCCCAACGCGGCGAGGATTCCTCACAGACGGACGAACATAATGCCGAATACAACACGAACTTGTGCAGGTAAACAAATAATTAAAATGGACAGCTTATATTTCTATTTTTTAACAACTTAATAGTGTATTTGACAAGTTTTAGAAAACGATCTCACGTTATTTACTAATGTTTATGGAGTCAGTAAAAAGTGGATATTCATCATTCTGTTGTGCATTTCATTAAAAATAACCAAATCAAAAACTCCATTTTCAAGTTGCCGCGAAAACGTTTCTCTGGACAATATGGCGTCTTACTAGTGTGTGACGTCACACGACTTTCATTAAAACGTCAAACGATACAATGTAATGTCACTTAAACCGGAAGTTTACTTGCGCGTGACGTCATTTTAGGCTCCGCCAATCCCAAGCGTTTTGGGTCACGTGACAATAGATACGAAAACTATTATCTTTTTCGTAGGTTTTCAGTAAAATTATGAATATTTTTTCTGTAAAAATAGTGAAAATCCTTGCCAATATTAATTCTAAACACAGATGTTAACAATTGACACTTTATTTTTAATACTGTCAAATACCCTATTGTTAGATGTTTATTTACTTATTTTATTTTACACACCAATAACAATATCACAATTATTACATTACATTACATTACAAAAGAAAAACAAATAGGTATTACAAGTCCATGTGAATAATTTTTTAGGGTGTATACAGCAATTTCTATACATTTATTGGCACAATATTAGTCTCTAAAGTTATTGTTTAAATATTTATAGATGTTAAATTAAATAAAATACTAGGAAAAAATCCACACAGACCAGGCGCCAGACGGGACTCAAACCCGCACCCTTCGCTATTCGGGATTTTTCTTTTGTTTAATATAGATACACTGACCATTATCTGCGTGGTTTTTTTTTCTATTTAACTTTTCTTTAGATTCAAACATCTGGCCGTTAAATACTTAAAAAATCAAAATATAACTATAATTGCTATTTCTTCTTTCAAATGTTTAATACTTGTAAAGGTATTCGTTTGACATTGTGGGTTACCTGCAATGCGAAGAGATGACGCTGACTTGTAGCTTAAGAAATACTTGAAATAATTCGACACGGCGATCAGTTTCGCGGTAGCAATTATGCTATCTCTAAGGGTGCGGGTTCGAGTCCCGTCTGCTGCTTGATCCGTGTGCATTTCTTTCTAGTAAAATTTGCAAATGTAAATCTGTATGCCCGGAATACTTTTACCGACGAGAAAGATTAATCTGGTTGATGGTCACGTTATAAGATTAGTTCCTGTTTGAGGTTAGAAATTCGTCTTTCATTCATTGGGGTGTCCGTTTCTACACAGTGAAGTAGTGACTTGGGGTATGAGCTATTCATAAATCTTGCCCCAAATTTGCCTGGGGATCTTATCTATTTACGACTTTACATTAAAATCCTCTAAAATTATCAGTGTTTCTCTAGTATAATATGCATGTATTATACATATTTATATGTCCAGCAGTGGACTATGATAGGCTGTTGATGATGATGATGATGATAATAAACTTTCCTCTTGAATCATTCTATCTATTAAAAAAATTGTGTGTGTCAGCTCCGACGCACGACTGGAGTTTACTCCTTAAATTCGATAGTCTAACCAGACGCAAAAAGAGTTTAATTAACTTAAAAAAGATTGATACTGTAAATGCCATATTCACGTTTACTTCTAAAGCTCAATGGTTTTATGTTCAACGAATGGCGCGGTGGTATACCGACGCGGTTTCTTTGTCGTCGTAGGCAATAAAGGTACGCTACGATACTGTGCTACGGTGTAGCACTATGGCTGCTACAGCGTAGACAGTAAAAACGTAACGAGGTCATTCATCGATAGATTTCACTCCTCACATTTTTCTCATACCGGGCCCCTTATATATGCAAATCGATTCTTAAGGAATCAACTCCAAAAACCGCATCAAAATCCGTTGCGTAGTCTTAAAGATCTAAACATACTTAGGGAAAGACAGCGGGAAGCGACTTTGCTTTATACTATGTAGTGACTAGCTTTATTAGAAAATGCACCTTATTCGTATATCGTTAAGGATGCTCACTCTCCAGGTACATGTTGACGCGCGGCAGCGGCAAGCGGCATACTATATCCACGCAGGAAGAAGCTAACGATGCCACGGCTGTGTGCACTACTTTGGTGAGAATATTTATTTATTTGAAATTACATTCCTTTTTAAATTGAAGTTGAATGTTTGAGTAAATCCTACTAAAAACTAAAGTTCCAACTTTCAAGCCTTTTTTAGTAACTTTAAGTAATTTCAGGAAGCTGAATATTTTTTTTATTATAACAACATTCAAGGCAACTATGTAAGATATGAATTTTTGAAACCTCGCTGGCAGAAATCATTGAAAATACACAAAAAAATATATTTCGAGTTTTATGTTTTTATAACTCGAAAACTAAGAAAAATCGCGAAACTTACATAGGATATTTTCGGATACCCCCAGGTGCGAGGAATCTAAAAAAAAATTGTTGACGTCACTAATTGGACCTGTATAATTATAATGATATAAAATATTTTTTTTTAACCTCCCCCAGCCAAGCACATCTCCGTCGTCCACAACTAGCATACGGATGAGAAGAACGGGCTTACTGACTGTCACTGAACGACCGCCCGGTAAGATATATATATATGTTTATATGCCATTTATATATGTACAGTTTTATTTATATTGTTAGTCTATTTGTGTGTGTCTGTGTGTTTGAATGATTGTTGCGGAGATGCGACTGCTAAATGTTAGCACTTAACATGGCTATTCGTATTTTGTATGTTGTTGATTTACATATTTGTTAATTTTTCACGAAAAAGTACTGAATGGATTTTAACGAAAGTATTACTAGCTGTCCCAGCGAACTTCGTACCGCCATAATAAAATAGGGGTTGGTGGTAGAAGGGTGAAAATTTGGGGTTGTATGTATTTGTGTATGATGTATCATAAAAAAATATCTAAAATTAAAAAAAAAATTGGGGTGGATTTCCATTAACATTTAGGGGGATGAAAAATAGATGTTGTCCTATTCTCAGACCTACCCAATATGCACACAAAATTTCATGAGAATCGGGAAAGCCGTTTCGGAGAAGTTTAACCACAAACACCGCGACACGAGAATTTTATATATAAGATTATATTATAGTTTATACTTCAGAATAACATATATGCTTTAATTTATAAGATAAGAGTAAATTGGCCAAACAATAACAATAATGTATATGATATTGGTATCGATTCTGGCGTGATTCTCTAAACTTAAAACTAAATTTGACATCAGTCTCTCCTTTTCATTCTGTATAGAGAATGACAAGGATACACTGTTGTCAAATTTAGTTTAGATTTAGAGAATCGTGCCAAAACCTACACCACTGTCAATTTTAAAACAGAAGTACATCAGTCGAATCTCCGCTACAAGTGTTTGTAGAATAGTTTTTCCAACTTTTTTGAAATTTATTTTATATGACTATTATTTTTTAGAAATTGTATTTTTTTCTAGTAGCGTATTATCGATGTCTTATTGAATGTGTGTGTGTGTGTTTGTTTTTTTATAATTTTACAATAATTGCTGTTTTTTTTTAAGAAAATATGATGGTATCTTTGATGAAACAACGAAATGAAAATGCTTTTATCAATTATAGTATGTTTCAAACGAATTTAGACCAAAGGTGAACAAAGAGATAGGTGGGTCTGACCATAGACAGTTTAGAGTTGGGGATTTAAAGAGCCTTATCAATATCAATTGATCAATTGAAAGATCATATAAGCTTATAGAGTCTGTGCGGAAAAAGAATGGGCGTGGCGAAAAACGGAACTAACATTCAGATTTTTATTTGGCAATCAAACCCAGCAATCTGTAAAACGTCAAAGTTTTGTATTGATACGGATTTGTTTGTCGTCGTGATTTCTTGCGGTTTTTTGTATAAATTTAATCATGTCTAAAAGGGGTAAAACCTTACAAATCGGTAGAAAAGCACTACAGCGCCCTCCAATCTAAATCCCATTCTCTTTCCGCACAGACTCTTTAGTATGTTGTGCATACTACTATTTTATTAATTCTAAATTATTTTTTTTGATGATTTTTTATACGAAGATGTCGTTTAAACAAAAATACCATGATAATTTCCAACAGTAGCTACTCAGTAATACAGCTTGCATGTCGCACATTTTTGTTTTGCATAAATTATTTGCTAATTATTTTTCTGTTTCTTTTCAAAAAAAAAAAACAACCTTATAGTTATAAGCCCAGAGCTCGTTATGGAAGTAGAGGCGAGAATGAAGAGGAATTACTTGCCACCATCAATCGGGTATCAATACCAAAACCAGGGATACCAAAGCCCCCCAACACCCACCGGTAGTTTACAAAGCATGCCCCAGAGTCCTACCCAAGGATCAATTACTGCTGGAACACCGAACTATACAAACCAGAGTACACAGAAATCGATAAAACCAGTACTAGAGACCATACCGCAAGGCACCATGATGGGTACCAAAGGGTCCATAATGAGCGGAACCCCCATAACTAGTCAAGCCATATCCCCGTTCACCCCACCGCTAATGCAATATTCCCCGAACCACGGATCCGTAGGCACACAAAACGCGGGTTCCATAACCAGCGGCACCCCTATACAACAAAACCAGGGATCCATAGTCACAGGAACGCCAAATACCAGTTTCGATACCAAAACTTACGGCTGTTACAATCCGAATTACGCGAACATCACACCGAACTTTACGTCCCAGAGTTATAATAATAATGGTTTCGGTGGGAGTAATTTCGGTGGCATACAGTATTCGAATCACCAAAATAGCCAAGCTATCAATCAAGCAATGCCTAGTGGGTCTATAACGGCCGGTACTCCGTACCAAAACCCGGTATCTGGACCTGCGCAATACAACAGTAGGCAGAGAAAACATTCGGGCCCGCAACGCGTCAAGCTGCAAACTTTGGCCACTGTCCAAGAAATGGGTAATTTTTTTGTGATTTTCCTTTTGTTAAGGTGATGGGAAACTAGTATTTTGATTAAGGAATTCTATAGAAAAAAATTAACAAGAAAGAAATATACTCGGTGACAGCAGAGTGGTTCATATTTTGATACCAACGATATTAAATACCCTAGATACACCAACACGAACAAAATCGTGCCCGAAACCTGTCCAAAAGGTACATTGGACGATCCACGGAGCTCCGTAAGATGATCGCGTAGTCTAAACAATATAAGGCATTATTTAAACATTGAAAATCACCTTTAAACCAAACTGGTAACCAATATAAATATAGGTATTAATTAAAACGCGTGCGTCAAAGAGTTACGACAGTCCGAAATGTAGGCTCGTAAGTTTTTACGACTTATTGCTATACGCGGAAGAATGTAGACCTTATTTCTTTGACTCTACGTGCAATTTTGTATGCGCTGTTAGCAATATAGCGGGTACGGATCGCGAGGAAAAGAGACGGCTATATCACCGACCATGCATTTGAATATCACAAATATTTTCGTTTAAATCAGTTTATAGTAAGTATTAAAATTTGCTTCAAATGCGTTAAATTAACAAACATTGATTGTATAACTGTCAAAAAAAAAATCATTTTACATACTACATGTATTTATTTCGCATTTTTTCACGGAGCTCAGTGGCTTTTGACTTTTCAACGGTCCGCACGTGACTGTGAACCAAGAAGTGCTTGAGTTGTGTTGAAGCACTTCTTGATTGGGACACATTTTGAGAACACGTGGTGTATCTAGGGTATTTAATATCGTTGTTTGATACCAAGAGAGATTGGTATCATTATTTTGTAAAAAGTATTTTTTTAGTTAATCAAAAAGTAAGTACATAAATACAGATTTCCGAGTTACTACTTCTATTCAGTATTTGAAGAATATAAGGTATCTTTATTAAAATAAAGATAAGGATGAACAGAACATGCATTTTGTTTCTAATGTAAGTACTAATGGTGTTATTTTTTGAATTTGCATCAATTTGTGTGCGTTATTTTGTTTTTCACGTTTGCGGTAGTATTTTTGTACAAACAATATCATATTAGATATTCTCAATTTTTTCTTTATTTAACACTGATAATATTAACTATGCATATTATTTGGTGAATTTTTCTATTTTGTGAGAAGTTAATATGGAATTGTATGTTCAAAATGTGTTGTTTTGTGTGCGTTTTGCTTAATTTGGTCTTTTCTAGAAACATTATATTTTGAGTGGTAGTGTAGGCTAACGTAGTTTTTTTGTGACTTAATATAATTTATGATATCCGTAGTTATATAAATGTCGGAGAGCGACTATTCACTTTGTCATTAGCGTTCACGGGCTTAGTGGGCGTCATTGGGGCTTGATACAGGCACAAAACCAAACAATCACTCAATCACTGTTCGTATAATTTTAATTACGTTCTTTTAACAAAAACAAAATAAAAATGTTTCACACACACTTTACTTTACACTAAGGACACTTAAATAACGTAACAACCGAGCAGTGGGTTCAAGGTACCAATCTGACTTCACTGAACTACCGTATCACTTTTCTAGTAATGAAACGCTACGATCAGTTCCTCGCCTTTAAATACGCTCAAAAACTACCTCCCACCTGTGAAAATCAAGATGGCGCCTCGACCCCACTCGAGGCACGTGCTCTGCTCTGATTGGACGCGACACAAGATGATTTATAAGAGACTTTTATTAAATTGTTAAGTTACTGAACAATACAAAAATTGTAATTAATAAAATCAATTTAAATTAAGATTTTATAAAATTATTTAAAGTGTTAACAATAGCCTTTTCGCGATTAACATTCAACAAGAAACTCTACTCGTCACATCCTCCGACATAAATAATACATGTGGAAAAACAAAACCATCCAACCAAACCAGGAAGGTCAATGGGGAATAGGTTTGCCAACCCTACTATATAATATAGTATCCTTCTATATTAGAACGCCAAATACTATATATATATATATATATATATAGTATGCGAAACTACAATATTTTGCTTCAAGCTGTACCCTTAGCATGAACCAATTTCGAATTCAAATAGTTAGCGAGTCCGGAATGTCATTGTCAAATGTGTACTGATTTTTAGTTGTCGTTACGTCCTTTGTGGCGCCACTGCTGTTCAAGTTTTCATATAAAATTTGACATTGACATTTCGGTCTAGGGGTACCGACATTAGCCATTAAAGGCTTTCTTTAAAATAAAAATTTAATTCTTAAGGCAAAGGTCAGCAAAAATATATTCATTTCAAAAATAAAGTAGATATTTTAACCGTATACTATATCTTTTTCCATATAATATAAATATATATTTTTAGAGGTAACAGCTTCGAAAATATTACCCTTTTGCAAAGATCTTCCTCCGAGCTGGGTAATGCCAGCTTGGGAGCCACGGCCCTGACTAACGTTGGTCGGGCATTGCACATATGAAGTGTTAGCCTCCGAACTTCACTTGCGCGATGCAGGCTTCCAGGCTTATTTATCGCAGCACCGGTAGCGCCATCTCTTGACGAGGCGAATGATTAGTTCCTCAATGTTGGTTGGTGTCGCGTGTAGATATCGCTGCCACAATATTTTCTATCCAGTAAATATGATAAATTCCTTTGGGCTCTTTAAGAACCCATGAAATTTTCTTAAAAATTGTTTTAAAGTTACGAATGAACGAAGTCGCTGTCAAAGATTAGAAGTACAATAAGTGTCACTTAGATTGGATACAAAACAAATAGGTACTGGTATTATTAGAATTATTCCATTCTAATTAATAATAAATAAATATTTCCACTTAGCCTAGCCCCAAAGTAAGCACTGTAAGGCTTGTGTTATGGGACACTAGGGTAACGGATAGAAGACATATATATAGTACATATATAAGTATATTTATATAGAAATAGATGTTAAACATCCATGACTGGAGTACTACTCGTATTCATCACACAAATATCTGCCTCCACCGGGATTCGAACCCGGGAACTCTCGAGTCGGCGACACCATTGTTGCTGTCCGTTAATGTTTGTTTTTTGGCATTTTTAACCCTCCCTCTCCCTTGGTGATACATGGTGAGGTTTAAAACTACGGGTTAAATGGTAGTGATACCATTAAAATATAGTGTTGATTGTACTATCTCATTTTAAATGCAAGATTTACCGGAATTACAATAGTGTTGTATTTGTTCGCGAACAGCTCGCGAGCACGCCGAGCGATATTCGCCGGTTCGGAGAGCGGAATGCTCGCCGCCTCGCGTCGCACACGATCTGGCTTCGGCGAAACTTGAATATCAACAATTACAGGTATGTTTCAATCATAAGCGTCAGTATCAGCCTTTTAATGTACCCACTGCTGGGGCACGGGGCTTCCCTATGGATGTGGCGGGCCACGCGGGCCCAGTGCGGATTCTTAGGCGCTAACTATTGCAGATGCAGCCGAGACCAATGCCTTAATGTGCGAAGCAGGAAGGAGCGGAAGTTTAAATAATAAAATACATTAAAAATTTGTTCACATTATTAAATCTCAACCATCGGGATTCTTGTATACGCGGCAACACTTGAATTATGTTTAGGATTCATGTTGTTTTATCTTGAAATTTCAAAATTATACGATACTAGTGGCCCGCCCTCGCTTCGCTTCGGTGTAGAGCTGAAGTGTAGACTACAGTTTTTGTTCTCAGGCTTGTATTATACACAATGACATTCAACTATGATTCTTCTTATACCTGCATGCAAAGTCTCAGCCCGATCGGTTTAAAATTGACAAAGTGTCATACAAACTTTCATTCCCTATTTTATCCCCTTGGGGGTAGAATTGATCAAAATTCTTTCTTAGTGGATGCCTACGTCATAACATCTACCTGCATGCCAAATTTCAGCCCGATCCGTCCAGTGGTTTGGGCTGTGCGTTGATAGATCACTATGTCAGTCAGTCAGTCACCTTTGAGTTTTATATTATACGATATTTATTCATCGTACTGCCCTCCTTATTTACTGTAGTATTATTTCAGTACTTAAACATGCATCGATTTAGTTTATGTGATATTTTGGCACTGTTACAAGCGGAATAACTGGAGTTGATGCGGGTAGATGTTATTGGCAGACATATCGGTCTACCCTCTGACGTCGTCTTTTACTGCGCTCGATACCCCTACCACTGGTCACATTCTCGCTATTCACTCGCACCTGTTCCCGACACACAATACTCACAGTATCAGATAGCGGAACGACGCATTTTTGGTTTTTGCGGTTTTTGCACATACGAATCATTGGATTCCAGAAGATTAAAAATAGTGTATGAATCATATAATTTACTAATATAAAATTAAATTAAGATTGGTGTTTATTTTCAATAAAAAGGAAATTAAATTTAAGAGAATGAAACTGAATATTATGATTTTCACACAAATTGTTTATTTTCTACTCTCCTTTTTTCTCTTTTGACATGATGAAAGATTACCTATACATGATTGTCTTTGAGCTAATATTATTCATGGATATAGAACTCAATTCTTCTGCAACCTTAACAATTGGATAAGGCATAACAAATGACAAAAAAATTAAAACAAACACCCATATAAAAGGGTTTTCAGGAATTTGTCACATGATAACTTAATGAAGTGTGTGTGCGCGCGTGTATGTATGTTTGTGTGTGTGTGTGTGTTCATTCAGCTGCACTATTGTTAGTGATCATGAAAGTTTAAAACAATATATTATTATAGAGATTTATTTAATAATGTTTGTTTAATGTAAACAGCGTGGTCTGGAGAGACGAGGCGTGGCGGGCGCTTCTCCACCGCTAGCGGACGCGGCCCGCTTACACACGCCCGCGCCTAGCTTACCTGGTAACTATTCATATATATATATATATATATATATATATATATATAACAATATTTGACATTTAGCAAATTAAAATAAATATTTAAGGGCTTCAATATACAACTTACGTAATAAAAATAGTAACATTAACAATTTCACATTATAAAACTATAAAATACACTAACTATAAACAAATAAGTCTCTTTCTAATTACATAATTACTATATATAAGTAAAATATAAATACTAGAACAATAAAACTAAGAACCTTAAAACATAAAATTAATAACTAAAATATATTATTAAAAGAAGTCCCTTTAGGCAAGGAACCAAAGATACTGACAGCGTTACCCCTTTGAATGGCTAGACTAATTCTTTGTCCGAGGTAGCTGCCAGCTCTTCGGTCTCCTGTGACGTCGACTAACCTTTTTGCTATTTCCTTAAATAGCCTTAAAGCGCTAGGACCCCACGGATATATATATATATATATATATATATATATACTACAATACCCGGTAACTATTCATATATATGTACTACACTACCCGGTATGAATACACTATGTCAATTGTAACGTGTTAAAAACGTCACATGGATCTCCTTCGCTCGAAGAGCGAGATAGAAGATTTTTTTTGGTTGTCTCTCTGGTCGTTTTTTATCTCGCGCCCATTTTCTTTAATCTGTGCACTTTTGGGTAAGTGTGTTTCTGCCTTTATCAAGCAGTAGGCTGAATGGACATTGTTCTCTTTGCCTACCGCCAAGACAAACTAAGAAAAGAACTGTCACTTCACTTCACGACCAAAATTTTAACCTACAACATGTGAAAATTTAAATCTTAATTTTTATCATGATAATCCATTGGATATTCAATTGTTTTTGATGGTAAGTGTTTTTCCAAATTCGAAAAGTGTTTTAATCCACATATTTCAATGATTTACCTTAGAATTAATTTCTTTTACAGATATAACATTTTGCAGCTTTTGATCGGAATGGCGGATATCGCATTCCAAGCTTAATTTGTTTAAAAAACGGTAAGAATCTTAGAGTTTTCCTTAGTTTTACTTATTTTCCTTTGTTGTGAGCCATGTGCTAATCTGAGGAATATTTATTTTCAGCGAAAAGCGTTTTTTTTTTATTTTGGATTTTATAATGAACTTTCAACATTTCCCATGATGAGAAAGTGAACAGTCCCGTGATGTAATAGCGACATCCATTTAATATTACAATTGACACCAGACATAGCCACTACACAGATGCAACAAGTTCGGTAACTTTCCAAATTCATTGTTGTACCGGAACCCATAAGGTAAAATTTTCATTTACATTTTAGTAGCCATAGTATAATAAGTAGTTTCTAAATTTAGCAGTAACCCTTTTGGACTTAAGTAGTTTTGTAGTAAATTTAAATAAATCGACAACCCAAAATGAATATGGTTTTGCAATCAAGCCTTCTCTTGTGATTAATAGTCCTTTGCTTTCCCGGCTAATATGGTTTAATAATATGGTATGGGTCTGGCGCCCGAGTATTCTTCTTTTTTTTCATTAATTTCGACCTATCCATTTAGTAAATTTCTCTCAAACTTTTTATTTTTTAATATTACAATTGACGCCAGCGCACAGGGACTTGGTTTATGCAATCCATTTCATTTTGTACCTATAATAGTAGTCTTGTCTGGTTGTTTGTCATCTTTATTATTACATTTGTGATATAATGTAGCTTTTGTACTTGAGTTTTGATACATAAACATAGATTTTGTTTGTAATATAATTACAATTTAACTTAATGTTTTGGATGGTTCATGTTACTATTAACTTTTCATTTAACTACTTGTTTTGAACTTTATTTCATATTTGAAATGTTCTATATACGTCTGTAGTGATGCATCACATAATATTTACTACTTTTGTATGTTAATTTAGTATTTTGCACATGCAAATTCCTTAGAATTTACTTAACTCGTAAACAATTATTTGGTTTCTACCAATTGATGCATATTGCATATAACTTAAACTTTTATTACCTTGTTAACTATGATCATTGTGTTATTGTTTTGTTATTTACATTTGAATATGCAAATTTACAAAGCTTTTTGCTATATATATATAAAAAATTAGGACTTTTTGTTCGAACGTTTTGATAATTTTTAAAATGTTTTGTGAACATTATTTGAAATTTATACAAGTTTCTTAATGATAAATATAACTGTTCCACAACTTGTTTTGAGCTAGTATATACATTGTTTAAATAAAACATAAACAATAAAGTTTAACTTTTATAAATAATAACATAAACTTAAAATAATTTAACATTCTTTGAAAAAATATAACTAAATATTCTGAAATATTTTCATAACTTAATGAAGCATTGTTTATATAATAATAATAATAAACTTAGTCATAATAATATTGTAAAATAACTTTTGATGTTGTTGTAACTTAGATATTTTGACATTTTGTCACAAACTTATTTCAGTTAAGGATAATATGTTTTTATATTAATAATTTTTAAATAATTTAATTTGGTTACATAACTTAACTTAAGATTTAAATATCTTTCACCAATTGTAAACTTGCTGCATCTTGCTTTATCTTTTAAAAGATTTAACTTTAAACTTACTTTGCGTTAACTGCGTTTATAATTTCACTGCTATTTTGGCATTTTGCAAAAATGGAAGGTGACAAACTTGCATTAGCTGCTGCCTTGCCGCCTAAGGAGCAACCTGTTTCTGTTGCAACTGATACTAGTGATTTAGCTTATCCACCTGCTACACAACACATTGCACATGAATTAATTAATTTAACAATTGATCAACCCACTTTGGATGATCATAATTTTCATTCATCACGATTGCTTGATTCACAACCTGCTTTACAACCGACGACCACACATGCTTCACATGTTAGCACTAATTTGTTACAAAATAATACTTCACTTTTGGATAACTTTAAAAAACCTACATATTACAAACGTCCTGATCTTTCGAAGAGTAAGATAATTTTTGACGGTAAGTCTTGTGTTAGAGAATTTATTACTAGTGTTGAAGAGTATATGGTTTCCAGAGATATCGATGAATATTTTGTTGTTACTTCCTTTTCAGATTTTTTAACTGGCATTGCTAGGACATGGTTTCGTATTGTTCGTTCAAATCTTAATTCTTGGTATACCCTTAAGGTTGCATTACTTAAACATTTTGACAAACCTGATTATGATGATCGGCTTGAATATCTTTTGCGTTCTCGTAAACAAAAACCTACTGAAACTTTGTCAGATTTTATCATCGAGTTGCAGGATATGTCTTTGCGTCTTTCGGATCCACTTTCGGAACAAACCTTAATTAAAATTATTAGGCGTAATATGTTGCGTTCTCACGCCGTATATTTTGTTGGCAGGCACATTAGTTCTATTGACCAAATTTTTAGATTAGATAAAGAAATTAAAGAACTTGTTTCGGAAAGCTCTTCTGTTCAATCTGTTTCGCGTGCATCTTCTCTTAAAGTTCATTTTGTAGATTCCAAAACTGATAAAAAATTAATTTGTTTAAAATGTAAAAATTTTGGACACACTTACAAAAAATGTTTAAGCATTCCTGGTCCAATTTGTTTCATTTGTTGTAGGCATGGAGTGACTATTCACACATGTGACTGCAAAAATAAAAAAGTAGACACCAGCGAACCTTTAGCAAACAAAATTAAATTTTCTGAACCAGTTCCAAAAAACTGATTAGGCCTCATCGAGCTCCACTTCATGATGAAGCGAGAAGAGTCTCGATGGAAAATAGTCATGTTCCTGATAAATCAACTTGTAGAAAAGAATTTAATGATTGGCTAGATTATTTAAAAGTATTTTTTAGAAATATTAAAGTAGCTCCAGTACTTTTTGTTAAAAATAGAGTTAATAGACCTTACCTTAAATTTAATGTTGGAAATAGTACTTTTACTGGAATTTTGGATAGTGGTGCCAACTGTTGCGTATTAGGTGCTAACAGTCACTTACAATTTTTAGAATTAGGATATAAATTTAAAACAATTTATAGAACCGCTCATACTGTTGACGGATCTTCACAAAATATTATTGGAAGTATGGACTTACCTGTGACTTGTGATGGAGATACTAAAATTATTTCATTTATGGTTATACCTTCGTTTGAACCAAATATAATTCTTGGTTTTGATTTCTGGTTAAAATCCGATTTAGCTAAAGATTTATTTAAACATATTACTTTTGTTGATGAAAGAGATGTTAACGTTTGTTCTGTTACATCTGCTGCTAACTTGTCTCCTTCTGCGAGTGAACAATTAAATAAAGTTGTGGAATTATTTAAAGATATTTCTTATGAAAAGAATGGTTTAGGCCTTACTCATTTAACTGAACATAAAATAGTTACCATTGGCGATCCTATTAAACAACGTTATTACCCTTTGAGTCCTGCTAAGCAGAGAGAGGTTTATAACGAAGTTGAATTGATGTTAAGGGAGGGAATAATACAACCTTCGAAGTCTCCTTGGAGTTCCCCTGTTTTAACTGTTCCTAAGAAGGATGGAGGCATTAGACTTTGTTTAGATTCAAGAAAATTAAATTCAGTAACTGTTAAAGATTCTTATCCTCTTCCTTATACTTCTTATATTTTAGATAACCTTAGAGGAGCTAAATTTATTAGTGCAATTGATTTATCTAAAGCTTTTTTGCAAATTAAATTAGATCCCGCTTCGCGCGAGAAAACTGCATTTTGCATTCCCGGTAAAGGACTCTTTGAATTTGTCCGAATGCCCTTTGGTCTTTCTAATGCACCTGCTGAACTGCAAAGACTTGTAGATAGATTGTTTGGTCCAGAATTTGATAAGAATACCTTTTGTTATCTTGATGACTTAATCTGCATTACTGACCAATTTTCGGCCCATTTAGACCTTCTTAAAAAGGTATATAAAGTTTTAAAAGATGCTGGTCTGACAGTAAATCTAAAAAAGTGTGAATTTTGTAAAGAAAGATTACGTTATTTAGGTTATGTAGTTGATAGTAAAGGTTT